TTGAAGTCTTAACTCGAAGACTCTCTAGGTCCTCCAGTGCAACTTTCATCAGAAATTAATTAGAATGTTACACTGGAAGACCTAGAGATTCCTAGAAAGTACATTCCTAGAAAGTGCATCCAGCAAAGGTTAACCACCTAATCATGCTGGAGGCAGAGGTTGATCATAGAATCATGTTAATGTGTTCTCTCGGGTAAAACAAATAGCATTTCTTATACAAATGAGAGTTTTTTAAATACATTATGTTTCACTTTTGTGGGGGCCCTGTGCCCCAGTCCTCTAGAATGTGCAAGGCAGACTGTACTATATAATAGAATATTCATGTAGAAGACAGGAGTAACCCAAACATGTATATCCCCTAGCTAGGATTATACAGCTCCTGACTTCTTTACCTTAAAGCAAGTAGAAGGGGATGATTTTAATAATTTGAACCTGGGCTAGGCAGGATAAGGCAATAACCAGTTTAGGCAGGAAACTGTCATGCCATAAATTAGGTGACACCGTTTCCACTGCACATACATGTAAGGTGCAAGAGGACACTTCTCGTCCAAAAGAAAGCATCATTTCACCAATATGGGTCAGCACAGGGAATCCATGTATATATACTTATTTAGGAAATACAAATTTAAACAACACAGAATGTTGCATTAAGGAAGAATGTAACCTCTTTAGCTAATGAATGACTATGACACACATAAAGAAAACATTTTACATATAAACAATCATACCAGGCATCTTTTAATTTTTTCCACCATTATAACTGTGCAATAGAAGTGTTGTAGCCTGGTCAGAGTCTGGGTGCTCAGAGGATGAGGAAGGGGATGCTGGAATGGAGACTGGGAGGTCAGGAGAGGATGGAAGTGGCTTGGAGGACGTTGTGATGAATTCTCATGGCAGTTCCCAGGGTTATCAGTTCTAATGAGAATCTGAAGAAGATACAGTCTGAAAGGGATGTGGGAGATGAATGTTTTTCTGGATCAAGTCGTCTTGAACTCAGGAGGCAAAATGTTAAACAAAGACAGGGTAGGTTTTCTCAGCAGCTTAGAGATAAGGAAAGGAAAAGCAGGTGTGGGAGACGTGATGTCATAGGAGGAATTGAGGCCTTTTAAGTGGTTTCTTCTGGTACAATCCTTTGTGAGAGCAACATTGAATGCAAGGCAAAAACAGCTTTTGGTTTTTGTTCTTAGGTCTTGCTCCATGTATCCAAGTTTCCAAGTTTGTTCCTTTTTCTGGTTCCTATATGGATTAGACTGACTGTCTTGGATTCCTGATGTCATGTTTATTGATTACTTATGAAGACCGTGTTTAAATGATTTTGGGGCTTCTGAGATTCTTTTGGAATGGCTTTTTAAACTTTGATGCTTCTTTATCAAGTTACTGATTTCTTTATATACTCATCTTTTAATAAACTTTATCTTATTTTGACATAGTGTGGTGTGTGGTTGAAAAATGGTTCAGGGCTCAATGCAACAGTTAGAGAGCCATTTCAGGACATCTGCCCACTTCCAAGATCTGGGAACTACCTAACCACAGAGGTTCCAACTCATTAGGATTTAACTTCAATTTCTTGACTAACACCCATCCCGCCACTGACTCAAGGCATCAGTCCAGCATTTACTCACCTTCTATAGATTGAAATGGAATAGAGAAATAGAGTTGGGCATCATCTGCAGAATGATATACACACTAAATAAAGACCCACAAGGTCCCCCTATGTTGCAGTTTACACTGAGCTTGTTCTTTGCAAGCTCAGTGTAAACCGCAACATAATAATTTAAACTATTCCAGTTTTACAGAACAAACAGCCTGGTTGACCCTGAACACCCAAATCAGACCAAACATTGTATGAAACAAATTAGTAAAGTGGGCCCTTGCTTTCAGCTGGTGGTTGATTCCAGGATACTCCATTCATACCAAAATCATCTGTGAATCCTCAAGTCCCATATGCAATGGCATAGTAAAATGGTGTTCCCTATACAAAATAGCAAAATCAAGATTCTATTTCTTGGATGTTTATATGAGTCCTCCTAGGGGTGAGAAAAGCAGTATATAAATGCTGTAAATAAATAGTAAATAAATAAATGTGTGTGTGCCATGGAGGATTGAATCCGTGGACACAGAACTGGTGGATAAAGAGGACTGACTGTATATGAGATGCAATAGAACAGCAGGTTTAGGGCAAGCCAACAAACTTCTGTCAGAATAATAGCCCATGTTTTACCAGAATTAAAAGACTACCCTCTTACCCCTAGCCTTTTACCTCAGTGAAGAGCTGGGCCCTGGGAGCCCTTCCCAATTCTCCCAATATAATTTTGAGTTAATTGGTCACTTCAAACCCTCCAACATTTCACTGATGAAAACATTATAGATAGCAGGAACAGATTTGATTTGGACTGGTACACTTTCTACATTGGCCACTGCCACCATCCCTTTTACCCTGTGTTCATCAGCACAGATATATTGAGCCCATGTTGCTGCCATTGCCTCCCTTCCTTCTTGCTGGTCACAAGATACTTCTGCACGGGGCATCCAGTGGGACTGATGCCATCTCAGCCTGGGTGGGCTGGTGGGACTCTGATCAACAGAAGGGTGAGGATGCTGTCTGTGGCTAAATTGCTGTAGAGTGGCCTCAGATTAACTGACCAGTGTAGATGGGGCTTCAGTAAGCAAAACTCTTTGAACATTATTTAGAATGCTTCTGAAAACATTATCCTGACATTTCAGGGCTGAAACATGAGATCTAGAGTCATGCAGGATTCCAGGCCATTTTTAAATTTAAAAGAAATGAAATGAAATGACATTATGGAAGATGTGCTTCTATTTGAATATTTTAATGCTATGTTTGGTTTATACAAAATCTTATTTATGACCTGGAGTTCTCTTTATGTGCCAAAACATAATAGCACTAATAATTAGGATGAATCATTCTCGATAGCTAATAAATCTCCCTAGGGAGTGTTGATGTCAAATAGATAACCATTAATAGTCATAATGCCCATCTACAAATGTGTATTTAGTATTCAAATCAGAGAACAACTAACCTATGATAATGAGAAGAGTTATTGGCCAGGATCTGACACTGCAGAAAGATATCTCATACCCAAACAAACCTGCTTTGTTAGTCCATATTTCTCAGATCAAAGCATGCCACAGGTGGATGGAGGAAGTTCTGAGAGATACTTAAATGGGGCAACTGTAACACATTGCTTGCCAAATAGGTTAATAGGTTACCAAATATCTAACAGAACAAATTGTGTATCTGACTACAGTGATCAACCACCCACAACTAGAAAGGCTCTATTTTTTAAAACCAAATTGTTTAGGGTTGGATTCCAGCTTTCAAAACACTGTATAATTGTAATGGCTGTATTTTCCTGTACTATAGCAGTTGAATGTTTAATTTCAGTGCTCAAAGTATTGCTGCTGTAATTCTTCAAGCGAAAACAAGATCTCTGTTATGTAATTCAATATAATGTTTATATATTAACAGAGACATGTATAAACATCATCTTAGACATATATTAGAAGTAAATTCCAAATAGAACATGATGAAATCATATACACGTAACATAGCTGGAATGTTTCCAGAGGCAATAAAGAAGTTAAAATTTGCTCATATGTGATGGCATCATAACTGGGCTAAGAAATACAGGGAAGGATGTAATAGTGGTACCAAAGAAGCTACTGGTTTTTAGCTACAATCAACTCTTGAAACCATTTTCTTTTTGGATTATATATTAAAAACAAAGTAAGGCACTTCAGGCATACTGCCTTCTTCGGAGAAATGTTGTCATATACCTGTTTGACATTGTTCTTCCTTTGGCTCAAGAATTACTGGCTCCTAAAAGTCACACACTTGCCAAGAACAAGATTAAAACTCTGGAATGCCACATGGGTGTAAGGACCCTACTGTATGCATTTTTGCCCTCATTAGATTAAAACATGCAAATGCCTGCCTGATTGCCTCAACACCACCCACTCAACTAATTTACGAGCACGTTTTTCAACTGGCCAGTCAAACAACTTCATAAGAACTTCAAAAGAAAATTTACCCCATCCTGAAATATTAGTTCAACTACAGCAAGCATTACCTGAATGAGGTTGAGCATCCCTCATTCAGAATTCTGGAATTGGAAATTTTCCAAAATCCAAAACAGTGGGTGATATAGTTACTCGTTTGCTTTCTGATTTGTTCAGTGTACACAAACATTGTTTCATGCACAATATTATTTAAAATATTGTGTATAATAAAATTACCTTTGGGCTATGTGTATCATGTGTATATGAAACAAATTTAATGAGTTCCATCACCAAAATATTTCATTATATACATATATGCAAATACAGCATTCCAAAATTGGGGAGGGAGGGTACTTCTAGTCCCAGCCATTTTGGATAAGGGATAGTCAACATATATCTTTTTATTAAATTATGTAGATCACCCTCCTGGTTTTTTTTTTTTCACCAGAAGTAAGCTATTTTCTTTGTTTTGACCCATCACAGGTACAGCCTTTGTTCTACTGATTCTTTATACTGTTTATTCTGAACCTTACTACTGCATTGATGTTAATATACAGAGGCACTTTTTGAGTTTTTCTTTTTAAATTGGTTGAGTGGGGCATAGGACAATGTGAGGGTGATCTGGCTGCGACATCTGTCACCCCATTGATTGCCAGGGTTGATTCAGCTGATCTGACTGGCTAAGCAGGTGTTCCTTCCTCCCTCACCACTCCATGTGTGTCCCTCCTGAAGCTGTGCGCTTGGTGGAAGAGGATGATGTCCCAGGTATAGATGGACAGTACCGAGATCTCCAGTCTTCGGTTTCGGGTATACGATAGCTGCGCTCCCCTGCTAGAACTTCAAAACAAGCTCAAGGAGGGTGAGTGTGGCCCTCCCAAGTCCACATACTATCGTAGCAGGCGCCAAACTCAAGTTATATCATATGAAGTAATATTATGTCATATGAAGTAACATGAAACCTGAGACACAATTCATGACTGTTTCACACTTTTATTCCAAATCAAATGCCCTGATCTTTACAGATAACAGCCTTCAAACATTTCTTCTAGAAATGCACATTAACAGTATATTATTATTATTATTATTATTATTATTATTATTCAAGCGATATTTGAGAATTTTATAGTGGGCCCTTGATTTCTACTAGGATTTGGTTCTAGGTCGCTCCAGAATTGATGAATACTAAAGTCCCAATATATAGAGTGGCATAGTAAATAGTGTCCTTTGTATAAAATGGCAACATCATTTCAACAAAAAGCAGTGAATTTTTGAATCAATGGATGCAGAATCTTTGGCTACAGGGGTATGATTATAATACAGGTGATTAGAGAGGATATAGGTGAGTCCTAAGTACTAAGAGACTTGCAGCCCAATCATTCTTTATAGCATCCCTTCAAGAGATCACTGCAAAGTTTTTAACCCTCCAAGAAACGTTCTATATAATATACTGAGGTGAAATATGTCATGGTTACAAGTAACATGCGCTAGTTCTTTTAAATTGAGGTAGCTAGTCAATATATATTAATTAATAAATTAAATATAGCAGCCTGTGTGCATTAATCTACCAATCATGTTTTGATGCATGACTCATTTCATCTGATATCCTTTTCTTTCTATTGCTCTTTGCAAGGACTGAAGGATCAAGTATTTATTATTCTGAATATTGTAACTGGTCAGTTCCACCAGCTTGTCAAAATCCTCTTCTGTGTATTGAAAGCACTGTAACCCATATGGAGACTGTGGGCTGGACACATCAACTTGGCCCTGCTTCATTTCAGAGGGACTGCGCTCCACACCTGAAAATAAAACAGCTGGTTACATTATCACATTTTGAAAGGCCTTAAGCTCCCAAATCACCTCTGGGCACATATATTGTTCTCCTTCATTTAAAAGCTATTTAGTGCCATTTTAAAAAATGAGATTCAAGGAATATGCAAACTAAGGGTACATCTACACTATAGAATTCATGCAGTCTGATACCACCTTAATGGCTATGGTTCAATGGAATGATGAAAAATGTAGTTTTACAAGGTCTTTAGCCTTCTTTGCCAAAGGATGCTGATGCCTCACCAAACTATATCTCCCATTCCATAGATTGAGCAAGGGGAGAAAAAGTGGTGCTTATTTATTATTTCTTTAGTATCATTTAAACATATCAACTTATAGGCATGCTGATAATTCCAAATATTGAGAACTTCATCCAGGTAATAAGTAGTTTAGAAAGAGCCTTATATATACCTGAATATAAAGGTTAATTCAACAAAAAGATTATCAGTGCTACTTATGACAGATTAAGCAGGAGAGGGGAGAATTGCTGGGGCCAGAGACACAGCTTCACATGTGATAACTTACCTGGTGCTTTGTATTTTTTGAAGGTGTCATTTATTAGAGGGAAAAAAACCACAATAGGAGCTTTTGGGTTCTCAGGATCTTCAAAGACATAGCACTCCTTCAAATTTTCATCCTTAATATGACTCAGATTTACTTTAGGAAATGGGATACCTTGCTTTGAGAAATATCTGGAGGCTTCATCTAAAGTCTGGATTATTGTGGGACAAAGGCAAAGACAGAAATAAAACCTATTGTAATATCTATCTTTTTTTGAAAAGAAGTTATTGGATGTATGACATTACTATACAATTCTAAGTGCTCATATATACTATCTATAGGTCAGTGATGGGAATGGGAAAGGTATAGTAGTATGTTAGCCTATGGGTTGTTGATAACAGGGTGACTTGGAGGTCTCAATGGTCCATTGAGACAGACCCATAATGCAGGACCTGCCTCGGTTTTACCAAAGGCGTCCAGACACAACCATCACAAGAGGGCACCTACAAGAGGGCATCCAGACACAACCATCCAAGATGCTCCTCCTAAACCCCAAATGTACCCCTACAAATAAAATTAAATCTACCTGGCTGCCATAATGTTCCTCCTCATGCCAGGGGGGCACAAGAAAATTATGTGCCAGGAGATCTCCACCCCCCTGTCTCCTGACACATCATTTCCTTGTGTCCTCCTGGCACGAGGAGGAATGTTATGGTGCCAAGTAAGTTTAACTTTATTTTTAGGGGTACATTTGGAGGGCTTTGGGGGGGTTACATGCCATCCCACAAAAGTGTGGGCCCTTCCAGGCAGCTGAATAAAATCCCACATTTTCAACTTTGAACTGAGATATATGGCAGTGTGGACTCGGACAACACATTTCAAAGAAGATATTGTGGATTTCCTGCCTTGATATTCTTGGTTATATGGCTGTATGGAAGGGCCCTGGTTTTTAAAATTCCACTTCGGCACGGATTTTTGTCCTGTGTGGAAGCACCCTCATTCATGGAGTCACCATAAATTGAACCGTAACATGTGAGAATTAAAAGTGACAATATCTGGGAAACTGCCAGGTAAGGAAACTGAACAGACTGAAGTTTATTTAATGGGATTTTGCCTTCTTCTTTTTTTTGAAAACGTGTTTTTGAGAATATTCTCATGGACTAGATATTTTTATTTCCATTTGGAGACTCTTTAGAGAAAAGCTTTGATTAGCAGCTACTGCAGATGATGACCAGATGTAGACAAGCATGCTGTTCTTCTTAGCTCATACTGATTTTACTAGCCCTGTGGCAAAAGCTCTTTATAAAATAGGCACAACTCACATGCTTGAAATGTTAGTTCAAAAGACCCAACTTGTAAATATTTTAGTAAATCTAAGCCCAGAATTTAGTTTATGTTACAATTAATGAAAAAATCTTTTTTCATGAGAGCGGGAGAGAGGATGGAATATAAATAAAGTTTTTTATTATTGTTGTTTTTTATTAAATGAATTCAGTCAAACATGAAATTATTAGTATGATAAGAAATCCTATGAGTAAATGGCATAAGTCACAGTAGTTCAACCTCTCACTTCCTAATGGCACAAGCTATTCAATCCTTTAATTTGGTTCTTTCTGTTATTTTCACATTTTCTTTCTTAGATATCATGCTTTAGGATGTCCTTGCACATCCTGCTTAATGCTATCCTTAGGCTACAAAAGTCCACAAATCAATGGTTGACCAAGAATGGTGGAAGTCATTGTCCAACACATCTGGAAAAGGCCAAGTTGGGGAAAGACAACCTAAATCATCTTCTCTATCCATGACTATTTCCAGCCATGTATTAAATATCTCAGTGCACTTGCAATTCTTAAAAATCTGAATCATATTGGATTCTTACTGAAGTGATGCTTGACTCCTGTTGTGCTAAAAGTTAATTAATTATTGAAGCAATAATTAATTCATTTCCTAAAGCACTAAACATTCTATGCGGCAATGTTATGTTACACCACAGTTTGGGACAGATGCCATGCCAAACAATATTTCAAGTACTGTTCAGATGATGTTCATAACCCAAGAATGCATAAACTGGCCTTGCATAATTTTTTTTCCTAGTAGCTATAAGTGTAAAAACATGAAACAATAAATGAGAAGTCACAATATCAAAGTGCAGATAATCTCACTGTTGTTTGTGATCCAGAAGAATAATTTAAATGTATGATAACATCCACTTTTCTCTCTGGCCTCAAGAGTGGTGGGTAGCTGATGTCTAAGAAGGCTGCAGTATCTGCTAGGGTTAGATATTCTGATGTTGCTGTCAACTGGTTTGGAAAAGTATCCAGTACAGTATCTGAAAGGAAAAATACTTGTCATCAGTCAGTAGCATTTTGTTGATTCGATATCTGTGAGTCTCTGGTCCAACCAGAACACAACTGATTTATTATAAAACTAGGAATGAGCCTTGGCCTTTCATGCCTCCCCCTTGTTGCTTGAAGTCACAATAAGTAATGCTATCTTCCAACTATCCATGTAATGGTACTGCTATCAGGGATGTAATTTTTCATTAAGCTTATTATTTAAGGTAGGGATCAGTCTTTTGAGCAATTTTTCTTTTATGGTGAGAAAGCCTTTAAAAATCATGCCATTTTCAAGAGCTATTCACAATTTGGGATCTATTTTGTGCAAATTCACACATGGATGTTTTGCATAGAAAACATCATTTTCTGGATGGAAAATAATACTTCAATGCAGAAATGTTAATGCCTACACAAAATAAGCTGCTTTCTCTGCAATAAATGGGTTTTTTTCTGTACAAATCAACTGTGTACCAAGTTTATACATAATAACCACCACCTCACTTTTCTGCACAGCATTTTCTCCCTAGAAATTAATACTTTTGCATTGAAAGATTATATATAGAAAATGCTGGCTTCTGCACAAAAATGCTGCAGTTGTTTTGTCTGCAGGCTATTTTCTGTGTGAAACATTCAATTGTGAATTTTGTACAGAATAAATCCCAAACTGTGAGGAATCTCATCAGTCAAGGACCCTTCTCATCAGAGTTTCTCAACACTTGAAAAATAGATCCAAACATTTTCCAGTCTTTCCTCAAATTTTCTTTCCATCCCTGCTGTATTTACCATTTTTTCAGGACAAAGTCACAGAACATGATACTATGTTATAATGGTAAAGAAAGGGTACTTTGATTGTGCTTTTCCTGCATGGCAGGGGGTTGGACTAGATAGACCATGTGGTCTCTTCCAACTCGATTTATGATTCTATGATTCCAAGGGAACCACACTAGAGGGGAAAGATCAGCTTCATCTCCTGTTAGCATTGCAAGGGCTTAGGGTGGTGGCGGTGGCAGCAACCCTCTTTTCATTCTCAGGAGGGCTCTGTTTAAACAGATAACAAGAGGCAAGCATGAGGCAGTAACAGCAACACCACCATGACAGAGGCAGTCTATGAGATGTGATGCAAGAAGTCTTAGCCACTACAGAGAAGACACAGCATTGTTTGGGTCAGCTTTTGTGTTGGAAGCAGATTTTAGGATAGCTATCTGGGTCCACTGTAACCTGCAAATACACAGAGCCAAATTTCTGAGGCATTAGCAAGATATAGTTCTGAAGGGCAAGAACAAAAAGTGCAGAGCAGTTCAATCTCTCCCCATAAGCTCAGGCAGACAATTAAATATATTGTGTAGAGGAAGTGTAAGCTCCTTCAGGAGAAATTTCTGAGGCTACCCTAGATCATCAACTGTATTAGCAAAATGTTAACACAGGATGACTAGATAGCCTTACTATATATTTCGGTGTGTTATGTCAGTTGTGAATCTGTGTGCAGGAGAGGGAAAGTGCTTAAGGGGCTGATCTTGGTGCTTTCAAAAGTAGGGAGTTTGTGCCACATTTGTTTAGATTTATTTAGCTGCCTGCTATTTTGCCCAACTCTACCTCATAAACTGACTACTTGTCTATTTTGGTCATTCATTAATGCCTATCCAGAGGCCATCCAGTGCCCAATAAGATGCCTTTCCATAATTTAGCTCTGATTATTACATTTGGTCTGTACTGCATTGTAGTACTTGAGCTCTGAGCTGCTCTTTGGGACTGTAGAATCCTGCCAGTAAGAAGACTATGTCCAGGATCCCATGACAGCTTCCAGCCAGCTGCTGAGGTGCCTGTATAGGTACTCCGAAGTGAACTAGATTGCTATAATCCACATTCAGATTAAATGACTGTGTAGAAGCTGCCTAAGGCCCCTGCTTGTGCAGTGTCAGAACATCCTAGTCACAGAAACATCTAAGTCTCTGCAGGATGCATCACTACTATATGCTATAAGCAGAAGCATAATTCCTAGATACCAGAGATCGCATCTGATCATTTTCAGGAGTTATTTTGGGGGGCTTCCAGGTATGAAAATAGCATTTATGGGTAAAATTGCATTCTCTAGTACAGCCACTTTGAAAAGAATGGGGAGATCTGTGGAATTTGGAAGGAGAAAGTCTTGGATGAAACATTCTCCCCAAGGCCACCTGTACTCCACAGGTCACACGTAGAAAGGAGCTTCCATTATTAGAAGGTGCAGCATCACTACACGTGCAACATAAATCCACAAGAATAGCCAAGTCACATTGAATAGGTAGTGTATTACTGTAATTACAGGAATAGCATGAACTGCATGAATCCTGACTGGCAGGAGCCACTCTTAAGAAACACATATAAATGGTATGAAGCATTGAAAAAGTGTGTTCATGTTTGTTTTTTCACCGACTTTGGTAGCCATGAAAAAAATAGAACTGTGGAAATTTTAAGTTTCTGGAAAATTGAGAGAAGCCAATTAACTGAGAGTATACTGTATTAGATTTAGCAGCACCTGCAAAAAGAAAAGGGCTTTAGCGAGATATTTCATTAATTAGGCACAAATGTCTATATCCAGTATTACAACGTTAATAACTATTATTTGCTTATTTATCTATTCTAATCTTTTTAAACCACCCTCTATGCTTAATGTTATGAAAACTGAATTACAATGATGCAAGAGTATAAACATTCCCAACAACTTACCTTTCCATATACAAAAGTTCTCATTATCTAAGTATTCATTGCTTAGTTGGAATCCCATTAAGAAATTGTAAACTTCTGAAGTTGTTATGCGTTTTGTTATGATTTCACGAAGAATGGTAGGAAATTTAGGGGCAGGAATCACCAGCTGAGTATGCAGCTCTTGTGGTCTTGATGGTTGTGAAGGCCATTCCTCTACAGGTCAGAAAAACACAATCAAGGTGAATGTACTGAAGCAGCATGCAGAAGAAAACCAAAACCACAAGTGCTGTTGGGCTGCAACGCTCATTAGCCCCAGTCTGAAGGGTGGAGAATAAAAAGTGATGGGAGTTATCATTCAGCAATATGTGGCTACCCAAACTGGTAAACACTAAAGAGCACTGACCACTATTTAAAAAATATATAGTTGGCCCTATGTGTACATAGATTCTCCGTCCATAGATTCAGTGGCCCCTTTAAGACAACTATAAGGGTGAGGGGCCTGGATGAAAATGAGGTTGACACTCCTGCTCTAGATCCTCCAGCGAAACACTTTGGTCAACTTCTGACAGACATTTAGTTTAGACCAGTGGTTTCCAACCTTTGGTCTTCCAGGTATTTTCAGCTTCAACTCCCAAAAATCCCAGACAGTTTACCAGCTGTTAAGAATTGTGGGAGCTGAAGTCCCAAACACCTGGAAGGCCAAATGTTGGGAACCACTCATCCTGAAGGACCTAGAGATTCCTAGAAATACCATATTAATAAACTCTAGGCCCATATATATCACAATAAAGGAATGGCTGTCCAGACAATGTTCTGGACAGCCCCAAATTAATTCGCTACATACCAGGAAAATTTGTAGCAAATTAATTAGATAGTGGGTTTATTCTGTGCCTTCTTGGAAGGTGCAGGATAAACCTACTATTTCCAGTCCAGACAGTATTCCCACAGTTTACCAGGCTAAATAAACCCGGTAAACTGTAAGAATACCCACCCCCCTCCCCCAGACCCCTTAGAAAAGTATTAAAAACTTACCCGGACTCCATTACTAGACTCAGCTGGCTCTCCCGGCACATAGAAATGATGTGCCACGAGAGTGGGGTGGGGGAGGAAAATTGCCCCCCCCCCACTCTCCTGGAACGTCATGTCTACATGGCAGGAGAGCCAGATGAGGCTTGTAATGGGGACTAGGTAAGTTTTTACTACTTTTGGAAGGGGTCTGGTCAGCTTGGGGGGAGGGTGGCTCCAGATGTTCTCTCAGGCTAGTCCCGAGAGAATGTCTGGACACCCACCCCAGAAAGTGCAAGCTTCTGCGGTGGGTGTGGACAGGCCCCCAGGAAAATCCACGTTTTTAAAATGCAGATTCTCCTGGGCTAAAGCCTGTCTGGATCCGGCCTCTGCAAATAATCAAATCACAAAATTTCTACCCACAAATGTGGAGGGTCAACTATAATTTCATACCTGAACTCTTTTACCCATCAAGTGAGGAACAAGACTGTGAACACAAAGAATTGTGTTTGCTGACCATGTTCCCTAAGAACTATGTATTGCTGGCTAAAACCAATAGTCAGTCTTAAATCCTGGGGGCAGATCACCTGGGGATGGAATCTGACCTCATTAATAATGTTTGCGTCTTGGCCGCACTCTGATGTTGCTAAGCCACATGTGTCCCAGTTGCCATGTATGAAAAATATAGATATACATCTCATTCAGAGGATCTGCTTCTTGTAGTCAAGCAGGGACCTCACAACCCCTGTGGATGCCTACCATAGATGTAGGAGAAAGGTCAGGAGAGAATGCTTCTGGAACATGGCCACACAGCCCGGAAAGCACACAACAACCCAAACAGGGTGTGGGGTGTGCTGAACATTAAAAAGAATACCAGCCCACCTTTCCATAAAGCCTAGAGGTCTGTGAGAGTTATCTTTTGAGAGTCACCCATACTACCTAATAAAAATTTAACTAAGATCATAGAACTTAAGGAGTCTAGAAAGAGAAATCTTGCTTTGGGCCTTTTTCATAAACGAAGCTGGGCAAAAGCCTGGGAGTAGCAGGGCATGTTATGCTGCTATGTTTTGTAATCCTGCAGAAGCCATACAATATGGTACCACTGCTGGTGAGAGGGCAACTGGAGAAATGTATATGAGGTCCCTTCAAAACAAATTCCTCTTGCAGTGTCTGCATCAACAATTAGCCCTGTCCTTGCTTGGGCACGTGACTCACCAGAAATTTTGATATTTTATATGAAGCATTATATGAAGAGAAAATAATATATTAGGGCGTAGAATTATAACTCTACCGCAATACGTAATTGGGACTTAATGAGGCCTCTTCCTGGCCATTATGAAATGAATATTTTACATAGTTGTGTAGGAAACAGAATAGATAATAATTTGAGGATTAAATGATCATAAAGCATTAAGGTGCTGTCAGGTAAAGCGTGCACACACATGCACAAGTTAAATAAACTATTTTTGCTTCTGTTGTAAAATTGATATTTGGTGGGTGGAAGAGAGGGATACATCTGTAAGGAAGTCTTTTAGATGGTCTTAGTCTAAACAGTTCTTAGCCTTTTCATTAATATGGATACCCTTAAAATATATTTTGTTACTGTGAGCCACAAGACATAACTAAAGATTTAAAACCTAAAGTGCATCAATTATTTATTTGAATTTTCTCATTAAGGGTTTTCATATTTTCAAAGAAGGGAGAAATAGGGAAATGCCAGCATATCTAATATAATATTTTTAATTAAATGAATCAGTAACAACAACTACACCTGAATACTGAACCATGGCCTAATATTACTGGTTAATTTTAATTGATTGAATGTTTGATGAGAAATCTCGTGATACATTTTACTTACAAACATTGTTATATTGGGCTTAGTAACTGAAACTTGTACTCTGAGCTATGCATCTATAATTTTGAGATGGTTTCTTTATCTATTTTTAGGATGTGGTAGCATCTTTAAAATACGGACAATTGATGTTTGGTGCAGTTTATGTCTCTATGTGTGGTATCAAGAAATGTTTTCTTTGTTTTTTCTACTTACATGTTTTCATAACTTTTCAGTGGCTTGGGATACTATAATAAATTTTTTACAAATGTCTACCCCCGGATATTGACTAGAGGGAAGGATATTAGAGGCAAAGATGAAGTACTTTGGCCACATAATGAGAAGACAGGGAAGCTTGGAGAAGCAATGATGCTGGGGGAAATTGAAGGAAAAAGGAAGAGGGGCTGAGCAAGGAAAAGATGGATGGATGGCATCCTTGAAGTGACTGCCTTGACTTTGAAGGAAGTGGAGGTGGCCACGGCTGACAGGGAGCTCTGTCATTTGCAGGTCCATGAGGTCACCAAGAGTCGGAAGTGACTGAACTAATAAACAATTACCACAAGAAAAAGACCACTGCTGTTGGAGATCAATGGATGTCTGACCATCTATATTTATTTCTTACTTTTATTCATATAATTTCTTCAAGCAGAGCACACAACGATTTTTGTCACTTAAACATTAGAAGAGAAAACATTCAAGTAGTGAGTAAGTGCCAATGAAGACATCCAGGCAAAATGCCACTGGAGAGTAATGTTATGTGTCATTTACCACAAAGAGAGTGTAAGAGCTGTGAAAGACAGGCCTTAAGGGAGGAATCCTTCCCATGGTAAAGAAGGCAAACTTCAGGCCAAAAAACAGAAACATTATGAAATTAAGCCCCAGAAAACAGAAAGAAACTCTGCTGGAAGAACTGCAGGCCAATTGCAGCAATACACTAAAGTGCATCTATCCTTCTATTTGATCCAAGAGCAAAGAGGTGCTACAAGCCAGAATTTTCACCTGCAGTCCTTACATGCAATAAATGCCCTAAAGCTTTGAACACATAGGTTCTCATGCCAGCCTCAACTCCATGTTTTGATGACCCTACAAAACTGACAGGAGGGGAAAGTACCAAATGCACATAGTGACCAGATCATTACATAAAACTCTGGATGTTATATGAGAAAATCCACATGTTCGTTTATCTAAACTCATTGTATATTAATGCTGCTTGGCAATGCTCTGCAAACAGACTATGGACCTCATCACATTGATGTGGTCCCCTGGGGCAATTTGCCAGCCTTCATGGTGAATCAGTGGGGCAGCACACCAATTCCAGCGCCAAGCCCCCACCTCGCCCACAGCAATGTTTTCCCAACACACAGGGGAAGCATCACTGCACAGCATCCCTCTGTGCTGGTCCCTTGGTTTGCAATGGAACATGGGAAGCCTCCCCTGTTCTCGGTGCAGCATTGTAAGATGCTTGTGCCCCAGTTAAGCCATAGACCCTCTCCAGAAGTGACCCTGCATCATTTGATAGGTAGCATGGGGCTCCATGGCTCAACTGGAGCAAAAGCATCTTCTGACACTAAAAATAACTCATCTGATGAGGTCATATGTCTGATCAGGTGCCAAGTGTTGATTCCAACATACACACAAACACACCACTTCATCACATGGTCAAATACAGTTCAGGGATGGAACACCATATCCCATCAAACAATGCACAGCTACTTCCAGGGGGGCTCCATCCCCAAACTGTGCTGAAAGCATTATACGACAGAATAACAAGAACATGGGAGGCTACCTGGGTTCTCATTGCCAGCAATGGGAACAGCGTGAGGTGAAGTCAGGCAGTGACACATGTTCCTCCATGTGATGGGGAAGGCCGCTCTGCGGGAGACGGACTGATGGATTTCCCCAGTGCCCCATGGATTCACCATGATGCCCAACAAATTCCCCCACCCCTGCACTGCCACCGATGTTAGAGCACTTAATATGATGAGGTCCCTAGTCTTTGCCCATATGTTCAATTCATTTAAATTAAAAATGGGGAAAAAATATCAGCCCAAGGGTAAATTTAGTTTCAAAGAAGTTGTAGGAGACTAAATATTACATTATCATCATAATTTATGCCACTTTTTTCTCAAGTTTGACAAGGCCAAAGGCAAAATGATGGAATGAAAAATATTTGCATTTATTAGCTTAAAGCTGTTTCAGACAGTAACTAAGCCATGGGACACCAACTAAGTCTTGAGAAACCATTAAATAAAGATGTCATGGGGCAACGCCAAAGAGCAGGATTAGGACCTCTGGATAAGCAGATGTGGCCCCAATGTCAAACAGTGGAAGTAACTCACATGCACATAGGAAAGCATCCAGGGTCCTTTCTCTTCTCCTTTTCCCAGGGCATAAAAAGCAAAAAGCCTTATAGACATGAAAACTCTGTTACTATTATTAATTAAAATTAATCACCACAGCTTGATTTAATTTTTCTTTGGAAGCAGATTTTGAGAATAATCTTTCAAGTGTTAAACTGATATAAAATGCCATGTCTCCATTGTTTGTGTGTTTTGTAGAGCACAACGAAGGGGAGTCAGCTCACCATTTTCACGTGGATTATTTCTACCTAACCTTGAAAAATAATAATAGAAGTAACATCTTAGCTATCACTGCAGCTAAAAGAACAATTGCTAATGATATATTCCCAAAGCACAACAGTATAAGTAATTTTCTACAATGAGTCAATTCCGCTTGACAGAAAATTTCAGTACCACCGTTTGGAAATAATAAATTTGTTAAGGGGAAACAATTATTTTGGATCTAGTTTTATGCCTAATGTAGTGGTTATGCTGAATGGAGTCTCAGGTACTAAATTGGTTAGTGTTCACGTAGGCAAGGATTTTACCAACAAAGCAGACAATAGAATGGAGGATCCAATGAAGCAAAAACCTGTAGTCAAACATCAAATGACTAACCTATATTCTTTACTCTGTCCCGGGTGTATTTGTGCCAAAAACTTTCTTCAGAAGCATCAAGTGCTCGCCAGGAATCCAACAGGTTATAAGAAAATACATTACTCCATACACCTGGGGATTGAAAGAGAAAAAAAAAGGGAGAGATGGAGAACCTCATCACACTAGAGAAGGAAGAAATACAGATAAAAATGAAATGTGTTTGTCAAGACACTAGTTTATCATTTTAAAATGAAGATGCCTTAATATAATGGACACTGTGATTCAACACAAGCCTGAGAAGCATACATCCCATACACCACGTGTAGCATGGAAAGGGTCCTCTGTACTGTCACCGATCCCCTCCCCCAATCTACATATCTCTGCACCCTGAAAGAAATTCAGGTATTTCAAGAAGCTGCTCCATCTACAAACAAAAAAAGCAAACCCCAACCAGAATTTGCTTCACAAGGTGATAAAGATTACTGCAATATCATTTTATTTCCAGTCACCCCAAATGGCCCATGAAACAATGCATCATGGTTCATTAGAAAATGAGTCGCTGAAAATCAGGTGGTGTGGCCTTCCAAGGCTCCAGGGTGTGCTTGCCCCTGATAAAAGCAATACAGCTAAATTTTACAACGTTGAGGCACAGTGACTTTTTAATTATCAGGAATGCTGGTGTTGTGTTGCACCCAGTAGTTTTCTCTGAACACAGCTATAACACCTTCACAGGAAGAAGTGTTACATGCACACGTGTGTGTTTTCCCAGCAACAGTTAACTGTTGTGAGCTGTTTGTATTATAAATCAAAGCATTTTGTAGGGGCTTGCTCTTTAACAATTGGGACCATTAATTTAGGGTTGCCATAAGTCAGAAATTACTTGAAGGCACACAAGAATAATATATGATTTAATGACCTAGAGTCCTAGCTTTTTTATATGCTGCATTCTAATCTCATTTAAAGCATAGCATTTGCCATTGTGTTTCTATAATAATACAAAAGAAGTTTAAGTCTTTTTTGCTGAATGAGTTCAGAAAAAAAGACATTTCTAGACATTGCGCATCAAAGTCCATGGTAAACTGAGAGGAATCTAACAGCAATATGATTGATAACAAAAATACTGAATTGCTTACAGTTTATTTATTTACCCTATTTATACCCCGCCTTTCTCAGCCTCGAAGGGGACTCAAGGCAGCTTACATATAGGCAGTTATTCAGTGCCTTAAACCAACATACAATTCCAATGAACATTAAAATTAAAATTGAAATGGATATATAATAAACATTTAAAGGCTACATTCAGTATTAAAATTAATGCCAGTATAAAGTGCCAGAAAGAAGATATATGTTTTAGCAACACTTATTAATACAGTTGATATGAATACTTTATCTTACCTGCAATTTTTTTAAAAGTTGCCAGTGATACAGAAGGTTTACCAGGGAGAAGTATATATGTAAAAACTCCAAAAAATCAAACCAGGAAAAATATAGATGAAGTAGAATATTTGACAGATTTCACTAAAAACAATTTACACTTTTCCTGACTCACTTGAGGGCTTAACTGCACATTAAATATTGTTGTTTATCCATTCAGTTGCTTCTGACTCTTTATGACCTCATGGACCAGCCCACGCCAGAGCTTCCTGTCGGCCATGGCCACCCCCAGCTCCTTCAAGGTCAAACCAGTCACTTCAAGGATAATATCCATCCATCCTGACTTTGATCGGTCCCTCTTCCTTTTTCCTTCCATTTTCCCCAGCATCATTACCTTCTCCAAGGTATCCTGTCTTCTCATTATGTGGTCAAAGTACTTCATCTTTGCCTCTAATGTCCTTCCCTCCAGTGAGCAGTCGAACATTATTTCCTGGAGTATGGACTGGTTTGATCTTCTTGTGATCCAAAGCTCTCTCTGAATTTTCCTCCAGCACCTCAGTTCAAAAGTGTCTATCTTCCTTCACTCAGCCTTCTTTATGGTCCAGCTGTCACATCCATAGGTCACTATGGGGAATACCATTTCTTTAACTATGTGGATCTTCATTGCCAGTGTAATGTCTCTACTCTTTACTATTTTATCGAGATTGGTCATTGCTCTCCTCCCAAGAAGTAAATGTCTTCTGATTTCCTGGCTGCAGTCTGTACCTGCAATAATCTTTGTGCCTAGAAATACAAAGCTGGTCACTGCCTCCACGTTTTCTCCCTCTATTTGCCAGTTATCAATCAATCTAGTTGCCATAATCTTGGTTTTTTATGTTTAAGTGCAATCCAGATTTTGCACTTTCTTCTTTCACCTTTTGCACTTTCTTCCTCAGTTCCTCCTCACTTAGAGCCATCAAAGTGGTATCATCTACATATCTAAGGTTGTTGTTTCACCCAGCAATTTTAACTCCAGTCTTGGATTCATCAAGCCTCACACATCGTATGATGAAGTTGAATAGGTCAGGTGATAGTATACAGCCTTGCCTACTCCTTTCCCAATCTTGAACATTAAATGTATATCCTTAATATATAGTTAGGATGCATCAGGAAGAAAGAAATGTGGAATTATGAAAATTTCTAAAATATTCTAAAATAGTTACCGTGAATTTAGTTGACTCAAATAGCCTATGCTTCTTTTTAGTTTGCAACTCATCCTAACGTCAGAAGAGGGCACACTCACTCTGCCTTTGCAGTTTGTAAAACTTAAACACCATCAGAAAACAACATTTTGAAATTTTCAAAAAAAAAAAAAGAAAAGAAAACAACATTTAATTCTTATTGTCAAAGAACCTGCTTTTTGCTCAAAGAAGATTATATTTTAGCAACAACTGATTTTTGAGTATTTTAAAATGAAGGAACAGCCTTTTCTTCATCTTTTTTTAGTAACCAGAATATTAAGCACTAAAAATTAACTCAGTTTCATGTTGAGCCTAATTTTACATTTTTATCATACTTTCTCTCTTAAAGCCATGGGTTGAACATTAGCCAGGCTTCCCCTCAACATTCTTCATTGTTTAGAATCTTGTCTAATAAAGAAGTCTTCGTAACTGAAAAGCTTGCTCAGTATTTCATGACATTTCAGTGAGATTACTAAAAATCATTATGCAATCACTGCTGTAACAAAAGTATTTTTTTCTTTGAATATCCCACACAAAACAATATATTTAGAAAGAAATTGCATATGACATATAAAGCTAAATGATTAGTTAGTGCTGTGTAGGGGAAACAGATAACACTTAGGACCTAATCACATTAGTCTTCATACCTCTTCTATGACGCTTGCAGGTCAGAGCCTGGATGAAGCACGATGAAGCCCATCACATGATGCAGGGCTACTTCCAACAGAGATCTGTCCTGGCTCTATCCTACAAGAATCATAGGTCAGAGCCCTGAGAACATGAAAAGCTTCCCGTGTTCTCATCCAGTAAGCCAGGGAAAGAGTGGGGAAAGTTGAGCGGTAACGCTTCCCCCCTTGTGATGGGGAAGGGGGAAATGTGAGCAATGCAGGGTGTGGAACGATGGTTTCCCCCACTACCTGCCAGATTTGCCTCACTCCCCATGGATGTCCCTGCTTTCCCTCGGCTTGAGGACCTCTGTCTGATCAGTACCATATTTAAGGCATATTATTATCATATCCACAACATTTTCCGAAAACGTATTGCATGCTAGCAGGTTAGCTGGTAGCTATCTCATGTTCTTCAACTGTTCTAATTTGGCAGGGACAGTCCTGATTAATAATGTCCAGTTTTTTCAGTGGGTTTTTTAATGTCTTAGTTCCTCTCTCCTCTTTTCTTTGGGTTTACTTGTAATTTGTACATACTGAGTTTAAACTGCAAAAGTAGTTTTCACTCAGTTAACTCAGCAGAGAAGATCGGAGGGTGCAAATTCTTGCCCTTCCCAGGAAAATGAGGCAAAAATCAAACTCCTAGTTTGTGAGTTCATTATCATTAATAACTTTTGTCAACTTGACTCTACTCTGATGTTGCTTGATCACATGTGTCCCAGTTTTCATATGTGAAATGTTGGAGGGCATGCTGTCTATAAACAATCATTTTGTGTTACTGTGGCACAGGACTACATTAATGGATGAAATTGAGAAATGATACAAAATTGGGCAATGTTATATATGCTTAAGAAAAGTGCAATGGACAGCTAAAATCAAAAATGCAACTGCCACCCCTAAATCTTATCTATGTGGAAAATTAAAAACAGGGAACGTCTGGAGCCCTAGAAGTGGTAGGACTTTAGTCCTAACGAAAGATCATTGTTATGCAATAATATGTCAGTAATGCTTGACTTAGTTTCAGGTGCTACTGTGAAATAAACTAAAATTAAGAAGAACTTACCATGGCAACACTAACACAAATCCCATTGACTGAATTTGACTCAGGGCTAGTACCTAGACTCAATCCTTCATTGGCTTCTTGTATTATTTTACCGGTTAGGAATTGTGTAGCCCTTCAGATGTTGTTGGAGTGTAACTTTCTGAAGCCAAAGCTAGCATAATCAGTAATCACTGGTGAGAAATGCTGGTAGTTACAAGACTGTACTAGCTGCAAGGCTGCATGATTTCCATCCTAATTTAGGAGGCAACTAGATTGCCTAGTCTAATTTGATGCACGTTGCACAAGTGTCCCACACAAAAAGACTTTCTGAATTGTAATCAACGTTTAATTACAGAGCTTGTAACAATAAAAAGCTACAGTGGTGCAACCTGTGTGTTTTGCTCTAAGCTGTCTGATGCAAAAGAAAGAAAACAGTAAGAGGAATGAAACAATTAGATTTAAGCCTGTTAGTAAAGGTTGAGTCCCCCTTTGTTGTTTTTTCAGATTTTAGAATATCTATATTGCATACACACAATGAAGGGTGAGGGGAATTGATTAGTCATACACCAGTGCCATCCCAGCCATCCACACAAGGAACCCTTGCTCCACCACTGCTGGACACCCAAAAGGGGAAACCAAAGAGGGGAAGGGGAACCAGACTGCATACAAGAAGCCCCTGCAAAAAGCAAATATCCGAGATGCTTCCCAGATGGTTAGCACATTCCCACACTTTTAGCAAAATAGCTGGAAAGGGAAGAGGAAAATCCTTCCGTGCCCCACTGCCCTTCAAAGTATTTTTCATTCTCTCTTAGCTGTATACACTTATTGGCCGAGGAGTAGTTTTGCGCTCACACTTGTGGAAGTTTCCAAGGCATCCACCCTGTCTTTAGGCTCCATTAGCTGCTCAGAAAGCAAGTGTGGAAGCATCATCAGGAATGTCTGCTTTTTACAATGGCCTTGTAAAAACAGAGTCATTTCCCCTGTTCTCTTTCCCCCTAGCAACTGCTGGATGAATGACAAGTCCCTTTTCCCAAAGATTGAAGCTGGCAGTTGTTTTAATTTCTGGAGTTTTTCAAATTTTGGATGTCTGGTTAAAGGAAACTAAATTTGCATATGGGACTTCTTCAGACAGAGCAAAGGTAAAACGAGTGAAAGCAGAGAAAAATAGGGGAAATCATCTTAACCCATTTCCTCCCATCTTTCCCTGTCTTCAGCGAAGGACAACTATCCCAAATCCTTATCTTTCCTTTTCCCATCTTCTCCCCACTTTATCCTGCCTCTCTCTATCAGGAGTCAATTGACACCCAACTCCTGATAGGTCTTTGAGCTCTGTTTCAGTGCACCTAGGAAACCAAGCCTCATGACCACGAATTCCCACAGAAGTGCCCTCACATCATATGATAGACTGTCATAAGGCTCTACCCTAAGGATTCCACCAGTGGATATAAGTTATGGGAGACAATTGAGTCTTGTTTTTACTCATGCTTTTTCACAACTGGAAATGATTTAGAACTTCATTAAATCCTAAAAACTTGAAGTCTGTTTGAAATAACAGCTTCTGTGATGTTTGCAGAAGGAAATGCATGTGTTTCAGGCATGGTGCAGTCAATATTTATTTCATTAAAATGGGAATTCAATGGATTTTAGAAGCATCAAAACATTGGTGAAGTAATCATTCACTTTCTTAAAAATAGAGAAATTTAAATCACCTTTCATGTAGCAGATTTGAGATTCTGGAACCTTCTTCATCATCCGACCCATAAAAAATTTACTTCCAAATTTCTCAGAATGAATATAAGCACCATATTTTAGTAATCCAACCTCAAAGGGAGTAAACTCCATCCATTCTTCAAAAAGAAAAATATCAAATATAGGTTCAAATTGAAATTTAATTTCATGAAATCTTGTTTGTGGTTGTTCAGCTTTGAGTCTAGCCTCTTTGCCATAGCAAATACATTTATTTATTCCAGCTATTAATTATTTCTTACTTACTCATCTCAGCCAACTCTTCACAAAACAATGTATATAAAATTAAAGGAACAAAGAAAAACAAGTGGAATATATAAGTACAAAGTTAACAGAACTCAACAAATCTTTATGAAATATGACTTTAGATTAGAAAATTCATTTGAGAATATGTAGCAGTCAAAACAAACTTTCTAAAGACCTTTCTCAGTTGCCAGAACTATGAATATTAATGGGAAGAGAATTATACAGCTGCAGGGACATCACTGAGAACATCCCAACTCATGTGCTCACTAACCCAACTAATATTACTTATAGGAATAAAGCAGTGCCTCCAAAAGAGATCAAGGATGAAAACGTTGTGTTATTATTCAGACTTTCAGCCTTACACCCATATTGCCCAATGCCACCAGTTTTATGGGATGTTCTCACTGGAATCTGGGAAGGACCATGATTTTGGACAAAAGTGAGTTTGGACAGAAATGGAAACATCTATGAATGGCCCATGATCAAGGAAAATGAAGGGCATATGACGCAAGAGCAACAAAGCTTTGTAGGTCTCAATGACTTCTTTCAACATGGATGTGGAGTAGGCTCTAAGGACCTCATCACATATTCTCCTGGATTTGCCCCACATCACCCACCTTCCCACTCACCTCATCCCACTAGGGGAAGTGGTGCTGCCCAGCTTCTCCCCATTGTTTTCAATGCAACACGGAAATCCTCCCATGTTGACTTCACTGCCTCCTATACCAATTTCACACTCTTTAGGTACAGAGCCCCACCAGAATTAGATCAATGTGGGATGGGACCCGGCAGGCTCCATGGCTGAAAAGGGGTAAAAAGGTGTAAGACAGGCAATTTTGCCCATCTGATGAGGTGGATAATCACATGCTAAAAAAATGCCTCCAAGCAGTGAAGAGTTACCAGCAAGGGAAATATATTTTCTGTCTTCTGTTTTCTTGCTTAACATTCAAATAATTTGGCCTTAAAGTTTCTCTTACAACTCATCCCATTATGGAAAAGTATATCCATCTTATTATCCTAAACAGTCATTGTTGACCAGAGTATAGATAGATAGCCATAGCAGAAAGGATGATACCTTTTCCTTCTAAGATTTACCATAGCAAAAAGGGACAACAATTAACAGATTATCTCAGAATGGCATGCCTATGTTACTATGGATAATTAACAATTGGATGTTTTTTTTAAAAAAATCAAAGATTCCATGGATATGCATTGTTCTACATTCTTCCTGTCCCTGAAAGGCAGCTTCCAAATTTCTGTGGCCACATACTAGTCATTGTCAACCTGTGGGTCCCCAGATATTTTGGCTTTCAACTCCCAGAAATCCTAACAACTGGTAAACTAGATGGATTTTCTGGAAGTTGTAGGCCAAAACACCCAGAGACCCACAGGTAGAGGACCACTTCCATATACTGTCTGAAGCAGAGAGAGTTGGAAATAACCAAGGCAGAAGAGAGAAGAGAGCTTATGTTGCCTTCTCATATCTCTGGTGACATTAATTTTTCCGCCCAGTTGCAGGATTATAACCGAGCTGCCTGGTCACTTTCTGAACTCTCTTCTTTTACCCACCTGCTATTTAATGATGGTTGCAGAGCATTTGGGGAACCTGGAAGAGGCCTAGGGAGGGAAGAGTGCTGGATATTGCACAAGTAGATATTAAATACTTCCATCCATTACATCCCGAAAAAAGACCCTTACATGCATAACCTGGTTAACCTGTGTCACCAAGAAGTTTCTTGCTAAAGCATCTTAGAACAATCAATATGTCTACATGTAACACAAAATCATTCTGGTCTCAAACCAAGTGCTAATGTAAGTAAGTAATGTTACCTTTAAATTCTGGAAGGCTGTACTTGTCTCTGGTGTTGAGAACCATGTATATAGGCAAAGGGTTCTGGCCATGACTCAAGGCATATTTCTGCTCTGAAAGTGTGCTGCTTTTCTGTTTAAAAAATGGATTAGCCAACACCAGTTTGTTACAATGACAGAGTTGTAATCCTATGGAGATTGCATGTAATCCTATGGAGATGAGGTATTTTTAATTTTAATTTCAGTCAGATCACCCTGTATTTTACTCACTTAGGGAGTCAACTGTCTATCAAGATTCAAATTCCTCTGCCTCCAAATAGGATTCCTAGAAAAGCCTTCAACTGTTCGGATCCAGGCTATTTGGCAGACTGCATCCCTTTGTACGAACTTGCCTGAGCCCTAAGATCTTCAGGATCTTCTCTCAAACCCACCTCCATCTCAAGATCAGTTGGTGGGAACGAGAGAGCGAAGCTTCTCAATGGCTGCCCTTTGACTCTGGAACTCCCCTTCGGGATGAGAAGAGCGGGGTATAAATATAGTTAATAATAATAATAATAATAATAATAATAATAATAATAATAATAATAACTCCCTTCTTCCCAGGGAAGCTAGAATGGCCCCCTCTCTGCTGTCCTTCCAGCGGCAGGCTAAAACTTTTTTATTCAGGCAGGCTTTTAAATATGAAGGTTTTAAAGATCAAGATAGGTGGTGCTTTAGTTTTAAACTTTGAATATGTTTTAATGGTTTTTCACTGGGAATTTTAAAATACTGTTTATATTGTGTTAATGTTCACATATTTAGATTTTTAAAATTGTATGCTGATGCTTTTATGTTAAGCCACTTTGAGTCTCCTGCAGGAGAGATAAAGCAGGGTATAAATATAATAACAACAATAACAACATGTAAATGTTGTTGAAGAAAGACACAGTGCTGATGATAATACTTTAGCTGCCGTGACTACATCTTACTGAATCCTGGTGCTTGTCGTTTTGTGAGGTGATTGAGCTTTTTGCTTGAAAATACTTCTCCCTAGACTAAGGACTTTATTGCATAAAGCCACAATCCCAAACCAGTATCACACTAGAGCAAAAAGAGTAGGCAAAAGTATGCATCTCATTGGAAATTCTGTGGGTGCCTCCTGCAGAATTCTGCAGAGGGGGTCTTTAAAATGCTCAGCCAAAGAGGTCCTAGCCCTCACTAAACTACAAGCCCCAAACTTCTGCAGGAGGAAGCCACAGGATTTCAGCTGGGATGCATATTCTTTGCCTACTCTTTCCGCTATCGTGTAATAAGGCTGCTAGTGGTGACATGCCAGAATTATCACACAAATGCATCAATTTGCCAGTCTCGATCACACAGCTGTACTTCTGCTTAGGCTCGTAACTCCACCCTTCTGTGATATTTTAAATACAATTTTAAAACAATGTCACAATTAGAGACAAGGTTAAAAAAATAAAACTTCAAATCAACAAATTACTGCTTTGGAACTAGCAAGGGGGAAGTGGGAAGAGGAGGGGAAGGCCAACCCCCTGATGTCACTTCAGTGTAAGCAAGGCAGCATAGAAGTGGAATGGTCTTATCGCAGCAAGTATGTTATGGGAACATGACACCACCCATGACTATTGATGGTTTTTCCTGCCCATTGCACAGAGCATGTTTATTGTGGAAAGAGGGCAGACTGACATCAGGATATTCATGGCTTCATGTGATAGGAACCATCACCAAAGGTGATAGTCCTGATTCAATACTGATTTGCCACCTTAATGCAATAAAATCCTAATAATCACAGGATTCCATAGAATGTTGTCATGTTACATACGGTGGAAACATAATACTATAATCTTGTGAAGTGTGAACAGGTCCTAGCTGATATCGAATTCCACTTGGTGATCATTTAAAACCATAATGATACCTATGCTTTTTTCCATTTCCCCTCCATTTTTTAAAAAAGTCTGCATCACATAAGCCACAATTTTAAATTGCTAAATGTTTTCATAACTTTGTATTAAAGTTGGTACATGCAGCAGTTCTCAAACTGTACTCCACTGAGCCCTTGGGACATAGCAAGAGATGCTCAGGGGTTCCGTAAGTGCCCCAACTCATTTCCACCATTTTCTGTCACCCCTGGCCTGTCGCTTCCCTTCTGTCCTTCCTAGTCTTTTGAGTTTAGAATTTAAACAATTTAGGCACCTACGTGAAGCAACCATTGCAGCACACTGTCCACCTGATCCTGGAGACCATGTGACCTCAATGCTGAAGCAACTGTTGATGGCTCCGAGGGTTGCTCCTATTATTGTTGTTGTTAGTATTATTATCATTATCATTATTACAAAGGCTGGGTGGCCATTTGTTGGGGGTGCTTTCATTGTGTTTTTCCTGCATGGCAGAAGGGGGTTCAACTGGATGGCTCTTGGGGTCCTCCATTGAAATACTGTTAAGTTTTTGTTGGTTAAAATTGTTCTTCATTTTAAGTATTGCATTTTCTTTCTTTTATTTTTGTCCACTGTGCAAATTAGTTTACACAAACACTCTGCATCCATCTGCCACTGTCCAACCTATGCTTGATATATATACATTATATAAAATATATTGTATTATATAATATATATAAATATTTATTATCTCCATAGCTGAAAATGTTTGAGAAGTCCTGGTCTAAAGGAAATACCTCTTTGTACTTTAGACAGCAGAGATATGTCTTACCCCAGTGCCTACTCCCTTGTCGATAAGTAGTCCCCAAAGATCTGTAATACAGGTTTTGTAGCCTTCTTTTTGCCTTTGCTCCAAAGCATCACTGTATTCCTTTAGGTTTTCTAAAGAAAAGAGGTTCCACTTGCTTTTGGTCATATTCTTGCGAGCCTCTGCAATTGCTCCTGAGAGATCTTGTTGTGACCAGTTAGCATGTTGGTAGAGATTTGATAGAGTCCTAAAGGGGAAAATGGTTGAAAAATAGGACATGTTGGATATTACTAATTGTATAAAAGTCAACAAGTTATCTTACAGAAGGTAAGATTAACATGAAAACATAGGTTGAATGGATTCTTCAAAAAATCAAATACATTTTATCTTACAAAGCATCAATCCTCCCATAAGGCATATTTCCAATACACTTTTGCTATCATCCTCAGAAAGAGAAAGAGTAGATATTTATGGATGCACAGAGAGGGGACTTCCTTGCCAGATTGGCTGCTCCAAACAGTAGCAAAGGGCATACACTTGGTTCGGCTGTGTATGGTGGTTGAAATAGTGATGCCTTTGCTTTCTAAGGATTTTGTAAAATATTCTGTGCAAAATTACCTTTGTCCTATTTGCAGAAAGTATATATGAAGACGTTTTATTTAAGTCAGTTTTTAATGTATAAGTAGATATGGGGTTTTTTGTTTATGTTTATTTTTAAATATATTATGATATGATTTTAATTGTTTGGAAGACGCTGAACAGGCATCTCTGGCAGCATGAGATGCAGAGCTAAGCTAAAGAAATGGGGCTACAAAGTGGAGTCCATGACATGTGAGTGCAGAGGAGAGCAAACAACAGGCCACCTACTACAATGCAACCTGAGCCCTACCACATGCACAATGGAGGACCTTCTCACAGCGACACCAGAGGCACTCCAAGTGACCAGCTGCTGGTCAAAGGACATTTAAGATAATGCAAAGTTTTTAACTTTGTTTGTGTTTTTAAATACATTATAACTATACCAATTTGCTTCTGACACAATAAATAAATTGCTTTTAAAATGCAAGTGTTTCTAATGGTTTTATGGTTTTTGGAAGCTGCCTTGTGTCCTGCTCTTGGAGGAAGGTGGCATGTCATTAACTCAATAAATAAATAAATGCTTGTGGTTTGGACTTAGGTCCTAACTCCAAGATATCTCATTATATATGTATATACAAAAACAGGTATTCCGATATCCAAAAGAAATCGAATACCCAAATACTTCTGGTTCCAAGCATTTTAACTAAGGGATACTCAGCCTATATTTTTATCTGATTGTCTTTTGTTTTACATGTATTTTGAATGCTAAGACACTGTATTCCTTTTTAGTTCTGAATACATAACTCACATCATGACTGCGTTATACAGAAATCAAGTATGTCATGAATTTTATTAATAGTTGACTTATTAGCTAGAACTATCTATGCTCTGAGCAGAGCAGACATCTTGCCTGGCCATTTTCCTGAGGCTGGAGCTATTCCATTTTGTTACAAGTATTAACACAATCATTTTCCCAAGATGATTGGGGGGGGGGGGGGGGGGGCGACAAAGAAATAACAATTACACACAAAGTTCAGATTAGTAACTGCCTAAACAGGAAGGAAGAAGGAAGGAAGGAGAAAGGAAAGAAGGAAGGAAGGAAGGAAGGAAGGAAGGAAGGAAGGAGGGCAAGCAGCAAGGAAATGCCAGAATTAAACTTTCATTATACAATACTGTCCTTACCATGTGGAGCCAGAGGATCCAGTGATATATGAAATGCAATCTAAGAGGTCCAATTTCTGAAGACCAAATAGGTTGCCATGTAAAGCTGTAAATGCCCTGGCACTGCCTCCTGTTGTCATGACTGCCACAACAGGCACCTGTTCAATGAAATAGACAACATTAAATGCTAAGCTTCAGAATGTGTCTGCTCATGCCCTCCGATGAGAAGATATCAGTTACTCGCTCTCTCCTCCTTCCACTTTGGCCACATATACATTGACCATTTAATGGAGCTTAAAGCCAACTTTAAACTGTGGCAATGATGAAATGCACATTGTCAAAGCATACTACAGTGCACATTAAAGAGTTTAAACTCATCAAGCAAAATTTCAGAAAAGTAAGTTAAACCTCTTCAGTGAGCCCCCAATGAAAATCACGTTGCATGGTGAAATCAGCTCTGCATAATGCAAAATGCCTGGGGCTGGAGTGCTTTGTAAAATTCATAATGCAGGGTCAGGGGCTGCTGAAAAATGCTACAGGGGGATAGCTAGTAGAACATCTGAGACAGATAATTAGTTAGCTTCACTACTAACTATAACTTTCCCTTTTTCCCCTCATTTCCTCTGTCTCTGGAACACTGGTATGTCTTTCAACTGGAAATGGGGAAGAAATATTGTGGATTCTGGAACTGGTTTGAGGTTCCCTTACCAGGAAGGTGATTATATTAATCACCTTCCTGGCTTCAAACCTATTCCAGACATGTCAATCTAATCATCCGCACAGTGAAACTAGTTTCTCCCAAATCAACCTAAGTGGTCAATGTAGATGTGCCTCCCTGTCACATTTTTTCTATAGATAAGACCCTACTATTAGTGACATATTTCTTTGCAAGGCTCACAACCTTTCACACTGCACAATTCTTGCACTATGATTTAATTGTCATGGCTGCATTGTATAAAAGCTGATGGTTTATAGTTTGGTGAGATGTAACTTTTTGGCTAAAATTTCTAATGGTCCCCCCTACACTGCAAATCTCAGAATTTCATAGGATGTTGCCATGGTAGTCAAAGTGGAATCATAGTACTATAATTCTGTGATGTGAAAGGGTTCCAAAATTAGATTAGAGTGGGTCCTATTAGCTTCAGGAGAAAATCTGCTTCAATTTAAAAAGCACTCTTATTGATCCAGGTGGTGAGATATGCATCCCTAGTCTTTCCTGGAATACTAGAAATTTCTAATCAGAAATAAGCTCCATTAAATTCAATGACAACTGAATCCACTTTTATTAACAGAACCTGTCCTACATACCTCATGTTCCTGCAAATCCCTCTTTAAATGGAGAGCTTTCTGCAGTGTAATTGCAGCCAGCTTCTTCCGTTTCTGTATGAGGATATCTTCGTCCACACATAAGTCATAGCCCAAACGCACATCTAAGTTTTTTGGCCTTGCACATAGCCCAGCATGAAAAAAAAACCATAAGAAATATGGCAGTGTACAGTATTATTATTATTTATTCAAGAGCCCAGTACAGAACTATATAAATAATTTGTAAAAAAAAAAAAAAAAAGACCAATGCATTCAAACCATATATTTAGTACATACACGTTGAATAGTAGATTCCCTCACCTGCTCTGTTTACATTCACAAAATGTTTGAGTTGAGGTTTTTCATGTGCAGAAGTATGAACAAGGGCTCCGTTAATTGACAAGTTGCTAGATCAGAGCCTTTGTGCAGGCAGTTGATAATGGACTCAACCATCCACGGCTTGAAAATATCTCCCCTCCCCCAAATTACAAAAAGCAAACTCTGATTATGCCAGTTTTTACAAGGGACAGCATTTTACCACACTGTACATGATGAGACTTTAGCAGCAATAGATTTTGGTATTGCCATGAGTTCCTGGAACAAAGCCTCAGCAGATAAGAATAGCCCACTGTATTTGCATACACTTCCAATAGCATAGTCTAGTTGGCAAGTTAGGAATGCATAAGCGCTATAGTTACAGCGCTATGAAATAAATCTCATCCCCACTTACCAACCAAAAACCATCATGATTTATAGGGGTCTGTTTTCCAGTCAATTGGGAAGCAACTGAAGGATGGCCCCACCCTCACCTGCAAATGATTTCCAGTGCAACAGGCAAAAGCAGGAGTGCTGTTACAATTCCCTCCCACTCTGTGGATAGTTTAAGTGAGGGGGAGGTGAGACCATCAGCCAACTGATCAACAATATCCCCATCAATTGCTGTCCGCTGTCTGGTAAATGGGGGTGGAGAATTTTCACAGCCCTTATACATCCCCTAAACTAGGTACAATGTATGGATTATGGATACAAAACTGTCACAAGCATACAATTCTAGGTTACTCCTTTACAACTGCTCAACAGGATTCTGGTCAACATCATTGTTATCAATTAAGTCAAATTTTATACAATTGTCATAGCAACAGCAATCTGTTCTTACCAGTCCTTTATTTTTAGATTTAGGTCAATCATTTTGTCCTGGAAATCAAAACAATATGAATGATTGTTAGTAATCTATTATAACATGAAATAGTAATCTGAAAGAGACTGATTTTTTTTCTGTACAGCAACCATTCAAAAAGAACTGGTGAAATACAGTTTTCTTCTTCTTGCTTTATCCATCTGTTTTATGAGCTTTAAAACTTATGATAAAAGGACCTGTCTAACTCTTTAGGGTAGAATATTCAGTGATGGTATGGTATAAATAACTATGAAAAGATAGACAGTTAGAAATAACGAGTAGGAGTGATATCTCCTTACAATTTTCAAACAACTTTCTGACATTGAACAGCAATGAACAATATTGAACAGCAGTATGTGTGACCTGCTACCCTGTGTGGATAGGACGTTTCTTGGTAACGTTCTACATGTTTAAATTCATTAGTACCAATGGGTAGCCTTGTGGTAGAGAGTAACTGTTGCTTTATTTATAATCAGTTGAGTTTTTCTATCTTTGTATTCCACATTCAGATAACAGTATTCTGTTTCTAAGCCATCTTGGATCCGTGTTGCAGAGAAAGGTGGGATAGAAATATCTGAAATAAATAAATAAATATTTACCTTGTCTATAATTAATTTCTCTTCTGTTTCTTGTAAATCCAGAGGTAGAATGAAACTGGCTTTTTCATCTGCATTGCCACTAAAAGACTAAAAGAAATGGAATAAGGTTTTAGAAACTTTTTAGGATTCTGATGTTTGTCACTTAACTGTTCAAATAGATGACAATGCAGTACAAATATATCTAGGAGTGGATACAACTTAATTTAATTGCATTTATGTGTAGGATTGTAGTGTCAATTTGTCTTATCAGCACATAGTAGCTACTATAAAAAGGAAGAACAGAAAAAGAGGCAGGCACAGATCCATCATGCTGAGGCTCAGAAGCAGATGAAACTCCCCCCCTTTATCTCAATTGCCATTGCTTTGGCCGTAGAGGAAGAGAAGCATGCACAGCCCCATCATGTTTAGGCCAAGAAACACATGAAAGGCCTTCCCTCCATCTCGATTGCCATTGCACTGACCTTGGAGAGTGGGAAGAGGCAGATGCACCTCTATCAGGCCAAAGCCCAGACACAGATGAAAACTACTATTTTCAACCCAACTGCCACTGCCCTAGCCTTAGAAGGAGGGAAGAGGTAGGCCCAACTCAATCATGACAAAGTCTTCAATCAAATTAAAAGCCTTCCAGCTATCCCAACTGCCACTGCCCTAGCCTCAGAAAGAAAGAAGAAGTATCTTTTGGGTATAGTCTCCTGGCACAGGACCATTTTCTTTTGTATCATATCTTTATTCTATTGTAATCCTGAGGGCAGGGAACAGTTTTGTTGTTCTTTTACTTGTAAAGCACCATGTACAATGATGGAGCTATAGATATAAATGATATCATCAACAACAACAATTTAGAAACTATTCAAAATGCAAACACTTAGAAATAGATTAGATAGATTCCTGACCCATAAACTGCCTCAGTACTTTATGTGGCACTATGAGATCACCAACAAAGTCTAGGAAATTCCATAGTCATGGTCATGCCACCAATTGCAAGCCGTTCTTTGGGATATAAGCATTTATGAACTAATAAAGCTGTTCGTTTGTTGTATGAAATTGTTGTCCTAATAGGAAGGCAGTGCTGGACCAATGTGTTTGCCAAGACTATTTATTTCACATATCTTGTGGCATATTGGAGTTTTGCACAATAGTGCAAAGGGTGGTTACATTTACTGTTGCTTTTCTTGGTGGGGAGCAAAGACATAGTATAATTCCAGAGAATTCACTGGCTGTCAGATAATTTTACACCTATCTCAGCTTCCAAACTTCATGTAATGATAGAATGTAATACTATCCTCCTTTTTGTTTTTTAATTGCAACACCAATACCTGCTTGACTATGAAGTTTTTAATTAGAAAACTGTCAAATCCAGTTCTAGGTATACCTGATATGAGCACACAGGTATGCTCAAGCTCAAAGACAGTGAGGTCAACAGATTGAGCTATAGAAATGGCTGCAATAGACATGCCACAGTACTACGCAAGTTGAATATAATCCAACTCAGTAAACAAGGTGCAGCCAAATGCACAAGATTCTATCAGTGGTGACTAAGTACATTAAACTGAAAAGAGTAAAAAATCCTTAAAGAATAATTATTTTCTATAGAGAGGTAATCTATCCCAGGTTTGGGTGAGAGCTAAAATCTCTGTATCAAATTTGCTAACAAGCTTTATAGTGTGGTAACAAATGCCCTAATTTCATTTAGAAAGTCAAATCATCTGCAGAAGAGGATGTACCGCCAGAAGAGAATGTATCATCATGTAGAAATGTAGAAATTTTGGTCAAAAAACTTGTGCCAACCTATCCAGGGTCAGTGTGAATACTGTACCTTAACTTTTATTAAAAGGGAATCATTCCTTTTTCTGAGTAGAATGGTGAAAGGAAAGAACTTAGTGCACCCCAGAATAACTTAAAAATCACATTGCCCCACTTTGCCCTCAATGCTATAGTGTTGCATCTGGTATTTTTGAATGTCTGGGTGAGAAAATGGGGGTGACCAGGATCAGCTGGCCCCCTGGGTCCCATCTTGGTGCTTCCCATCTCTGTAAAATGACCTTTGATTTATCCTTGGGTCAGAGCAAAATCCATAGTTTTGACTCAAAAAACTGCCTTCAACTTATCCATGAGGGCAACTTACACATAAATATATACAGTATGCTGATTTTTTTCTAGAAAATATTTTAATTTCTCAAATGTTCTGCAGTGACCTTCAGGCTACCATACAAACACACACAAAAATCACCAAGAACCTCTAGAGTGAAATTTCCATATTTGAATTCCTTGATAAATTATTTCATTTTATTCTAAGCTGGCAATAGGGACTGAGAGAGAAATCTAGGGATTCTGTAGAAGTTTACATTTTTTTTAAAAAAGACAATTTCAAAAGTGTTAAAAAATGAACCATGGCTTATTTTTCTTTTAAATTGGTTTAGCCACCACCACAAGAGCCATAAGTGCTGCTAGTTCATATAATTATGGAACTTGCATGGATTCCTAAATACAAACCCCGTTGTGCTTTTCCTGCAATAATTTTCCATGCAAATTATTTTGCAAATCAGTGCATTTTGGGAAAAAACATGTTTTCTTTGCAAAAACATGATTTCTGGAGAAAGAAACATTTCTGTTTCTATACAAAGTAATAAATTAATAGGAAATATGAACAAAGACTCTTATGTTCTTGTAAAGCTGATTGATGAAATTATCTATTATTGCATTAGGGAACAAAACAAATGAAGATTTGTATTGCTTTCTTCATTCTTTCATTCTTTTGTAAAGTCACAGGATATCTTATGACAAAATGTAACCTTATCATTTCACTCAAAAATGAAAAAAAAACCTTTGCTTTCACATTATTTTCCAGTTCAATGACATAATTTAAACACATACGAAGCATGACTTCTTTGGTACTTCAAGCTCCAAAGCAGATTCCTTATACTTGATATAGTGGAACATAAGAGGATCCGCTGGATGCAATTCAGAGTCCAATAGATATTCCTGAGTTTCTTCATAGGAGCCTTTCACTGTGAATTTTAAGTTTTTCTCTACAACAGTACACACAGAGATTATGGTTATTATTGAAAACACACCTTTTATGTACATTTACAAGGTCTGATAATTTCTTCAGTTTTATTTTGATACAATTTTTACAAAATTCACAAACATTTTCATATTTAAGATGATTGATAGAAAGATACAAATGTGCATGATATTTAAAATCATTAAATGAGAGCATAATTTTTCAAAGACTAATAATAAATATTTATTTATTTATTTATTTATTTATTTATTTATTTATTTATTGTATTTGCATACTGCCTTTCTCAGCCAATTGGCAACTCAAGGCGGTTTCCAACAAATCAGTATAATCAGTATAAAACATAATATAGATAAAAATATTAAACAGTATAAGACATCAAAAAAGCAATAAAAATAAATAAAAATTTATTTGTAGACTGCCCTTTCTCCCCAAAGGGACTCAGGGCGGTTTCCATATATGGCAAAACTAGGTTTGTATCTTCACAAATTCCACCATATTAGTCCTAAACTAATGTTGTAATCCCTTTCTTTTCCCCCAGGGATGTTTTTCTATTTAAACATTTATAAAACATTCATGTACAGCCCTCTCCATGGTGACAAGAAGAGCTTCCACTGGATTTAGCAAATGCAGATAGGAGAGGATTTGTTTCATTTTGCTCTTTAAAACTGTACCAAAAAATTGCAAATCTCTTCACACAAAAATGTAAAATCTAGAAAATTCAACTGGGAGAGAAAAAAGGGAACTGACTGATTTTCGTGTCTACTATTACATTGTTTGGAACTTAAGATTTTTAGAACTTAAACCCAGTACTTCTTTTGATTCAATTAAAGGAATCACCTTCCAAATACTTTTGCAGTCTTCTGCTACCCTGGCACTGCCAAACTTGTTGCTGCATTGCTGAAGTTTGTAAGCACAATATCAAAGAAAGGGGATATAATTGTTCCCTTTGAAAATAAATGTACTGGAAAGATACACCCTATTTTAAAGCAAAATCACACCCCAGCAACCTCTTGGAAGTGGAGTTGTAATTTATGAAGTGCCTTGTCTATTGACAACCTTATTTTCAGAAAAATCTGAATCCTCTCCTACATCTGTTAGTGCCATGACAGCAAAATTCATGATATATCAGTCAACTTGTGGCCTTGGGTATACAAGGGGCCTGCCATCTTCCCAAGGTGGAGACCCCTGATTTCCACTAACTTCAGTTTCATTGTATGGTTGCATTTAAATTGAAAATGTGATGCTACCACACACTGAAATGTAGCTTCGATTGGCCAATGAATCAAAATAGATACATCAGATTTATATTGCAAAAAAGGAGAATAATATTAAAACAACATATTAAAACAACAAAATAAATTCATATAATAGAGGTGTTTTTTTTCTCCCTAAAAAGTCTAAGGATAAAACCTTTCAAAACATATATTTAAGACTAGTACTTTAAAAAAAACAGATAACAACCTCTTGTGTTTTTCTTTGTCATCTTTCCCTCATTCACCTGCACCTCCAAGCAAGAGATTTCACGAGACTACAAAAAATGACATAGAAAAGACAAAAAGAGAAATAAAAGAGAAAAGAGTAAACTATTTTTAACCATGATACCAACAAATTAATAGATGTTTACTTGGCAACTTTTACAAACCCAAAACTAGCCTTGAATCTGAAAATAAATTCCAGGACTAAAGTAATTTCACTATTTTAAATATATAATGTGATAATAAATTTTGAGAAACATATAAGGCATGCCCCGTGTTTCTTCTAAATGTGTTCTAAATTTGTTTAGCTCCCTCTTCTTAGATTTTTGACTACTGTTTTATAATTTTACTTTATTGTAAGGCTACATGGTTGCCTAAATACTCTCTCTCATACACACATACTCATTATTCATCACCCTGTTATCTGAATGAAATAGAGTTTATAAATACATTTCCAGGTACACAGTGTTTAACTCAGGGCCCATCCAGACAGTACCCTTATTACAGTATCTATGAGAGCGGAGGGGGAGGAGGAGAGAGGAAAAACGCTTCCCCACCCCGCTCTGCTGGCGCATCATTTCTACGTGCTGGGAGAGCTGCTCGAAGCCTGGTAAGGCTACATTACTTTTCAAAGGGGTGGGGGGGGGGCTCGTCCCAGGAGAACATCTGGACACCCACCGCAGAAAGTTTGCACTTTCTGGGGTGGGTGTGGACAGGACCCCAGGAAAATCCGATTTTTAAAATGTGGATTCGCCTGGGATAAAGGCCTGTCTGGATCTGCCCCCAAAGTAGAACTGTAACAGATTAGGGTTAGAAATTAGAGAGTTGTGTTACAGCCTAGTCCTGAGGCACTTCTACACCCAGGACCACACCAGAGACCAATAGACCAATAATGAAGAGTTTATTGAATAATAATAATAATAATAATAATAATAATAATAATAATAATAATAAAAGGGGGGATATATCCAAAAGTAGCAGTCAAGATATAAATAACAATATACAAACGCAGTCAATACAAGTCTTTAAGAAATTCAAGAAAACCTCACAGGAACTAGAAATCCAAGAAAATAGAAATAATCCAAGGTAAAATACAGGAACATGAACACAGGAAACTCAATCCAGGCTAAATTCTTCCAAGGTGCAAAGGCAGGAACATGAAACAAGAAAATTGATATTACAAGAACCAAAGACTTGGCAACATGAACAGAAGACTGTTTCCCCACACCAGTTGTCTTCTCTGAAATGCTGAGAATCGAACACGTAATTTAGACCCACCAAGGCACTCATGCCATCATCCTTGCCACATATGGACCTGAAACTCCTATCTCTAATTCTTTTGGGATGTCTTAATTGCCTGCTTTTCACATCTTGTGTCCTGACATCCAATCTACACACCCTAGTGACCTCTACACCCTCCCCGTCTTCCCAAGGTATTTTCTCTAGGGAAAGTTCAGTTTCACTTTCCCTGGTATGCATAGCATCTGCTGGGTCACCTGACCTGTCTCAGACTGGCCTGTCTGCAAATCTGCCTGAATACTCTCAGACACCTCAGACACTTCATTTTGAAACCCATCACCCTCATCAGAATTGTCTGGCTCTTGCCAGACTACAACACATACAAATTAAGGCAATAATCACACATGAAGGAGGCATAGCAATGAAGTAATCTGCTGGTTCGGGGTCAGGCCAACCTGTCTCTGACTGGCTTGTCTGCAAGTCTCCCTCTATGCTCTCAGACACTCTGTTTTGAAACCCATCATCCTCATCAGACGCATCTGGCCCTTGGGCAGGCTACAACAAGTCCTGGCAGAAAGTTCTTGCAGTAGTAGTCCAAATAACAAAAATGAGCAGAAACCTTAGGACTGCAATAAGATGTCACAATTATGCTAATAACTACCGTATGATTTTTCATGTGTGTGTGTGTGTGTGTATGTAAAACAAAATTGATCTTACCACTAGTACATCGTTAGTAACAATATGCTCCTGACGAACTGGGCTGCAAAACAAAAACAATGGTGTGTTATGACTTATTGGTCATTTTGCCGGCATTTCTAACTGTATCACTGTATTAGGTTCAATTTAGTTAAAATTATACAATGTGATCGCAATCAGAAACTCAAAAATATTCAAAAATTAATTAAGGGACATCTTATTTTGGGTGTACACAAATACCTAGAGAGAATAGATGTTTTTTCAGTTCCATGTAAGGAAGCAGCAAAGGCATTGGCAAATACAGTGATCACTAAGTAATCAAATCCATAAATGCTTAAACCTCAAATGTGGAAGGTCAACTATATGCATGTATGTATATATGTATGAATAATATATAAATAATGAACAGCACTCCAACAATAATAGTAATGTAAATGCTGCTGAAGGTTGGACTTTTGCAATGTGCTGTACATTGGGCTATCTCTGTACCAAGTTCAAAAATAAAAATTAGTTTAAAATATGGTAGCCAGATTGGTTACAGGAACATCTACAAATGAGCATACATCTATATTAAAACGATTCTACTGGTTGCCAATAGTACAAAGTGTTGGTTATTACACTGTGTGACACACATTTTGTTCCTGGATTATAAATGTCATTTCCTAATTGGTTTTATTATAATAACATGGAAAAATGTTTACTAAGCTGCAAAAACTTGGTTTTTGTTACAAAGTGTTATCTGTAAAACCCTACGTGGTTTCGATCCAGGTTACCTACAGTATCACCTTCTCCAATACAACCCACTCCATAGATTCAGGATCTCTGGAGCAGAACTTTGTCAGGATTTGGAAATTACCTGGCATTTTCTAAGTGATAGCAGACTTAATACCTCTGGCCTAACCACCTGTGAAAAAGTTAAGCCACTGTAATTAGCATGTGATGTAATGGGAATAGTATCTAGGTTGTAGTTATCCAGACAGGCCTTAAGAGCAAGATCTGTCATGGTTTTACCAGAGGCATCCAAATTATGCCTCTGGTAAAACTGAATTAATTCAGAACAAAGCAGAATCACTTCTGCAAGAATAGGAGTTTTATGACTTCATAGAACCTCTGGCAAACTTGACTGTCAATTGTCATCCAAGATTGTGGAATGACCTGCCAGAAGAGATTTAACTGCTAAACAAGCTATTAGAATTGAAAACATAATTAAAGGTCTATATTTTCCAACAGGCCTTATCAGTCAATTTGAAACTATTTATTTTAAAATTGTACAAGTGATTTTAATGTGTGTTTTAATCCTATGTATTTTATATATTTATGTATGAATTTTAACTATGTTGTACCTTGCCTTGAGCCTTGGAGAAAGGTGGATAAGAAATATTATCATCATCACCATCATGAAATTGTTCCTTTGAAAAACAAGCAAAACACAGACCAAACTAATCTACTCGAATGTAAATGAATATTCATTTGGTTCAAGTGCAACCAGCTTACTCTACATATTACACATAAAGGTAATATGGGTACTATCCACAAGAATGAATAATTCAAGACATGATCAGGGCTGTTCACACACAGCAACAGTTAATATGATGTGAGGATGTATGGAGTTTTGGATGCAATTCAATATCTGGTGGACCTTGCAGAACTGCTCCAGTCAGCTCCTTTCCCAATAAGTGATGAAACTTTAAAAAATTCCTTCAGTATGTTGTACTACTAAGATAGACTTACATACTCGCCAGGCTAAATTCTACCTCCAGCTCTTCTTGAACCTGTAAAAGAACAAATGTTTTTGTTTTCAGTAGGGATCAAAGAGATACATTTTTTGTCATCATTGATGACAAAGCATATCTTACCACATTGAGAAATATATTTAAGAAAATGATCAACCATCATGGGTTTCTTTGCTTTGTTTTGTTTGGAGTGGGGAATTTTTTTCTGCAGTACTTATTTGAACCCAAATATTTCTTTTTGCAAAAGAAACATGATTGCACAGAAAAGTATATATTTTGTGCAAACTGTTTTCTGTTCAAAATTGTTAGTTTTCTACCAAAAACAATCCCCAAGTTTTTGCATGAAACAAACTTTAAAAAAAACATTCAAATTACAAAAAAAGTGGACAATCTTTGCATATTTTGACTCTGTTTCATAGCTGTTATCCAGCCAGAGATGTGGGTATGTTTCACTTGAAGAAGAAAAGGTTAAGAGAAGACATGATAATAATGTTTAAATATTTCTCCAAGCTGGATGTTATAGTGAGGTGGAGACAAACTAGCTTTCTGCTGCTCTAGAAACTACAGGCACACCTACACTGACCACTTAGGTAGGTGTGAGGATAGATTAACACCACACAGGGCTGATCTGGGTTAACCCCTAAAATAGAGGGTGTTAAGATAACTGAGCCAGTTCAAAAAGAGAACCTAGCCAACGTTGTCTTGGCAGCCAACTTATTCTGTCTAGGCTCAGACAACCTCGGAACACAGGATCGCTGTTTCCTCTCTCCTCCCCACATGCTGCCAGCCACAACACCCAACCTACCTTACCCAGAGTGGTCTGGCAGCCATATGCCAGATTTCAGCCTTGCTACAGTAGCTGGTTAGGGAGTCCACACCAAGATACAGATAGGTCAAGGTGCCATGGCTGTCACCAGCCACAGCACAGGTCAAGGATTCCCTTTAGGGCTTCTATACAGCAGCACTGAACTATGTTCAGCATGGCTAGGCAGTGGGTGTCCTTGTCAACTCTGAGGCAGCCTAGAGAGTTCTTGTCTTTGGATTGATTCTGCTGTCAGAGTCAGTGTAGTACAGCTCTAGGACACAGAGCAATTGATTTGAATTGCAGGAAAAGTAATTCTACCTTAACATGAGAAATAGCTTCTTGATAGTAAGAGCTGTTTCACAGCAGGATATGCTATCTGGGAAAGTTTTTAAATAGAGGCTATATGGCCATCTGTTAGGAGTGCTTTGGTTGTGTATTCCTGCATAGCAGAAATAAGTTGGCTGGATAGCTCAGGTGGTGTCTTCCAACTCAGTGATTATATTATTCTGCGTTACCCAACACTGATAATCCAACATGTTTTCAACACTGGACAAACACATCTGCTACTATATGTCTGGGGCATCTGCTATTGAGAAGCTTTAGTGCTGCCTTTCAGTATGCAGATTCTATTCAGCAATCATAAGTGTTTGAAGGGGTCCTTGTTGGACAACCCACTCTGAAGCTATGGGACAGTAGAATAGATCCTTTTTCATTTCTATCTAAACTTGATTCCATTCATCCCAATAAGAAAAATGTGCTCTCTATTCAACCAACACAAGACAAAAAGCAACACGAGGGATGCTGTCGGTACCTAAGTTCAGTGGTACAATTTTGTTGTTGTGTGGAATTCAGCTTACTTCTCCTTATCAATTTATCTTATTTTTTCTGCTACAAATCTTTGCTATTTGTTCTTTATTATCTTTGTGGTAAAAGTTAAAGAAAATTAGTGCCACTAAATTTCACATCTACTCTTCACCTTCTCTGCATATAGGATTTATAACGATTGATACTGAAAATGTTAGATGCCCACTTTCTTTGGTCCTTTTCCTCTATTCCCTAGTAATTTATTCTACTAATTTGACTTATTAACAATATGCATTCTTACTTTTGGATCCAGTGGAAATGTGAGGCAAACAGTTTCTCCAAGCTGGATTTTATAAATATCAAAGAGAACAGTAAAAAGGTGGTCATCTCCAATGCAGTTGTCTTCATCATGAACCATCAGTTCCAAAACATTCTGAAAAGAGGGAAGCAAAGATAGACCATCATGTTTTGATACTTGATTACCTACAGAAGTCATAAAGAACCAAAGCTCCATAGACCAGATACAGATTTTAGGGTCACTATCTTGATATTAACTGTGAATAAGTGAGTGTGTGTATGTGCCTTCAATTCCCCTGTTGACTCATGGTGACCCCTTGAATCGCATAGCATTTTTTAAAGACAAGGAATACTCAGATAAGGTTTTTCAATTTCCTTCTTCTGAAACATAGCCTATAGCACTTGGTATTCATTGGCAGTCTCCCATTTAAGTATTAACTGGGGTTGACCCTGTTTAGCTTCTAATATCAGATGGCATTTGGTGTCTTTTGGGTATTTGAGAGGTAAAGAATTAGAGCTTCCTTTCCTGTAAAGGGCTGGAGATCAGTTAATAAATTCAGTCAGTGACATGTGACATGTTAAGTGTGGCTTATGCAACCATATGTCTCTCTTTTCAAGGATAGGGACCTCTAATCCTTTGTGACCTATCCAAAGCCTCTTTTCCTTATCTCCCATACCTAGGAGGAGCTGCTGCTACCTAGCAATAGAGACATAATTCACACAATGAAGATGCAGTGGGTCTGAGCTCCAAGGGTAAGGAAAAAGAGAGTGCCCTCCCTCTGCAAATGCACCTATGTTTTTCCCTGTCTCAGAGTTGGGACCAGCTGCTTCTTTCTCATCCTTGTGACCTGAATTACTTCTCCTGCTCCAATGGTAAGCTCCAGAGACAGCGATGGCCCTCCTGGATCCTGACAGCTACTTAAGCAGGAAGTCCTAAACCCGCATGGACACAGAAATATCCATGATGTCAATCCTGTTCACCTAATTTCTTGTCTGCCTTACTTTTGGGGAGGGGGTCATAGAATCATAGAATCAAAGAGTTGGAAGAGACCTCATGGGCCATCCAGTCCAACCCCCTGCCAAGAAGCAGGAATATTGCATTCAAATCACCCCTGACAGATGGCCATCCAGCCTCTGTTTAAAAGCTTCCAAAGAAGGAGCTTCCACCACACTCCGGGGCAGAGAGTTCCACTGCTGAATGGCTCTCACAGTCAGGAAGTTCTTCCTCATGTTCAGATGGTATATCAAAGAGTCCTATTCCAGTGGGTACACTAGCTTCAAGATGACTAGTGCTCAGGCAGTGTGGAGTAGGAGGTGTCTCCAACATGTTAGCTTGTTAGTCCATGCCAGTTCTCTCATGACTGTATCTACACGCTGGGAAAATGGCACCTTATGTAAATAATTAAGGACAATTAAGAAAAAAGTTGTCTTGAATTAAATTAGTACAAGTAATAATAATAATAATAATAATAATAATAATAATACTTTATTTATACCCCACTACCATCTCCCCAAGGGACCCAGTGCGGCTTACATGAGGCCGAGCCCACAATACATCAGTAATACAAACAATAACAATAATACAAGCAATAAAATAAAACTCATAACAAAAAATAAGCAATAGACATTAACAGTAACACAAGTGCATCCTTGTTGTTTTGTATCTCTAGTTTTGTACTTCTTCTACTCCATAAGACTGACCATGATGTTCAGAACACTGCACATAAGCCCTTTCTTTCTTTCTTTCTTTCTTTCTTTCTTTCTTTCTTTCTTTACATGTAAAGTGGAAATGGCACACCTAAGAAAAAGTAACTTCCCACAACAGTGCAGTTGTGTTAACTCATCTGGGTCATGGATAAATTAATTGAAAAAATCTATAATTTTCCAAGACATTTTAAATTGGGTTTAATACTTCACATTTAGTTAACTAGTATGGTCTTCCATTCGCTCCATTTTATGTTTAACAATGGATTGTTTTTAATTGGATACCGTCAGTACTGGTATAAACACTCTTGAAATGAAGGGCGTCCCAGGAAATTTCTAAATAAACTAGTTCCTAAATGAACAAAAAAATGAATTACTTTATGCCACTCAGGTCATATTATATGCTAACACTGTCATATAATCCAGATTATCAAATAATAATAATAATCATCATCATCATCATCATCCCCCCATAGGGTGCTGCCTTGTCGTTGGCAGGGGGCTTAACTGCTTCTATGATGTTGAGAGCTGTGCTGGCGGTAGTGTAAACTACCAGCAGGTTCGACCAAGCGAGAGTGGTCTCAACTGAGAAGTAGAACTAAGTGCACCCAACCCATTTAAATATGGTGAAATACACTCTAAAGAAGTCTATACTGGCTCAGTTGTCACCCAGGATAATAAAGACTGCGGCGAGTGCTTCTCCTGGGCACCCGTTGACAAGTGGGCTACAGGAACCAGGACCCACTGCTAAGCAACCAGGGCATGGGCCTGCAGGGCAACTGGAAGCAAAACAACTACAGAAGTGGCAGAAATTTTAAATGCCACAGAACCGAACTGTCATGAATTACTTTTAAAGATCAGAACCACAAAAATGTGGATACCAAAAAATGGATGTACCAGCTATGGAAACTTGAATATCCAGATTCAAGCTACTCTGGGACTTCCAGATTCAGACAGACAGAGTTTTGGAGCACAATACTCCTGACCTCACAATCGTGTTAAAAAACAAAGTATGGATTGTCAATGTGGCAATCCCAGGTGACAGCAGTATTGAAGAGAAACAACTGGAAAAGCTGACACGATATGAGGATTTAAAGATCGAACTGCAAAGACTTTGGCACAAGCCAGTCAAGGTGATCGGCACACTGGGTGCAGTGCCTAAAGACCTTGGCCTGCACTTAAACACAATCGGCACTGACAAGATTACCATATGCCATCTACAAAAGACCACCTTACTGGGATCTGCACACATTATTCACCGATACATCAGATAGTCCTAGACACTTGGGAAGTGTCCAACGTGTGATCCAATACAACAGCCAGCAGAGTGTCTGCTGTGGACTCATCTTGTTGTGTTTGAAATAATAATCATCATTATTTAAACAAGCCACGAGAGTAAAGATGAAGATCCACCCAGAGAAAAAGTGTTCTTGCCATACATCAAGGGAACCACTGACCACATAGGAAAACTGTTGAGGAAACACAACATACAAACCACTTACAGACCCACCAAGAAAATCCAACAAATGCAGCAAAGGACAAGAGGGATCCTCTCACCTCTGCAGGAGTCTACCGTGTACCATGCAGCTGTGGACAAGTCTACATAGGGACCACCAAACGCAGCCCCAGACACGCATCAAGGAACATGAAAGGCACTGCAGACTACTCCAACCAGAGAAATCAGCCATAGCAGAGCACCTGATGAACCAACCTGGACACAGCATATTATTTGAGAACACAGAAGTGCTGGACCACTCTCACAACCACCATGTCAGACTACACAGAGAAGCCATTGAAATCCACAAGCATGTGGACAATTTCAACAGAAAGGAAGAAACCATGAAAATGAACAAAATCTGGCTACCAGTATTAAAGGACTCAAAAATCACAACAGCAAAACAACAGAGGGGAAACAAACAGGCACATAAAATCACTCTCAACAAGGGATTCCCCCCGGGCACTTCCAAGCCATTGAATGCTAATCAAGGTGATCAGCTGAAACATTCACATTAGCCCCAGCAGACAAAAGTCCTTTGTCTCACCCAGGTCATTCCACAGATATATAAACACATTTTTCCTACTTCCAATAGACCTCACTACCTCTGAGGATGCTGACTATAGATGCAGGTGAAACGTCAGGAGAAAAATTGCCTCCAGAACATGGCCATATAGCCCGGAAAAACCTACAACAACCCAATCATCATCATCTTTATTTATACCCGGCCACCATCTGCCCAAGGGGACTCGGGGTGGCTAACATGAGACCAAGCCCAACAATTACAATAAAACAAAGTAAAAATACACACATCAAATAATATCAGAAAATCCACACTATTGGATTTGAACTGTAATATATGAATCTACACTACCATATAATCTAGTTCAAAGCGGATAATTTGGATTTTATATGGCAATGACTTTTATAGATGACTTGTAGCTATTAATCACAACTATGACTAATGAGCCATGGATTGAGAAACATCTGTCATTCTGGTCAGATACAGTTACTGTCACAACAATGATGAAAGGTGGCCTTGATTAATTAACTCTTGCTTAATTAACTTCTGCCTTCTCCAATTATGATCCAACAAATGGATCCACTATCTTGAAATATCCTGTATCTCATGCTCCATCCACACAGCTATATAAAATCCAGATTATCTGCTCTGTACTGGATTATATAAATCTACACTGCCATATAATCCAGTTCAAAGCAGATAATATGATTTTATATGGCAGTATAGGAGCCCCCGGTGGCGCAGTGGGTTAATGCACTGAGCTGTTGAGCTTGTTGATCGAAAGGTCGCAGGTTCGATTCCAGGGAGCGGCGTGAGCTTCCGCTGTCAGCCCTAGCTTCTGCCAACCTAGCAGTTCGAAAACATGCAAATGTGAGTAGATCAATAGGTACCGCTCCAGCGGGAAGGTAACGGCACTCCATGCAGTCATGCCGGCCACATGACCTTGGAGGTGTCTACGGACAACGCCGGCTCTTCGGCTTAGAAATGGAGATGAGCACCACACCCCAGAGTCAGACATGACTGGACTTAATGTCAGGGGACTACCTTTACCTTTACCTTATGGCAGTATAGATGGGGCCTCTGAGGGGTTAAAAGAAAACAACAACTCTCAGACAAAACAGATTCAGTAGAAGACTCGAGACCTTTCCACACAGCCATATTATCCAGAACATCAAGCCACAATATCTGCTATGAACTGGGTTTTCTGAGTCCACACTGCCATATAATCCAGTTCAATGTGGATTTTATACAGCTGTGTGGAAAGGGCCGCATGCCCTATATCCCAGGATCAGATGTTAGATTATCTTCTTATCCCAGTTTAAAACCGTTTAAAACAGATAATCTGGGATCAGATCCTGGGATACAGAGCAGTGTAGAAGGGGCCACATTCAACATCTCATCTGACTGTTCATCTTCCAGCAACTGTGATGATCATTAACCAGTGGCGGCTGATGAATTCTCTGTCAATGAAATGAGGACTCTGACTGTTACAGGACTGATACCACATTTTAAGAAAACTATCCAGGATACTGAAGGCTATCCCCAAGATGGGTTCAGTATACTATTCAATCAGGCCCGTAGCCAGGATTTTGTTTGGGGGGGGGGCTGAGTTTGGTTCAGGGGGGCTGAGTCTGAGTGAAAGAGGGTCTACCCTAGCAAACCTTTTGTATTGTTACCCCAATACCCCCATGCATATGGAATATATTGAGCATGGTGATCAGATCATGATATGAATAAACATAACAGTTTAAATAATGCACCAGTAAGGCCTTCTCGCAGACCACCATGAGAATTTCGGGGGGGAGGGGGCTGAAACATTTAAAACAATGGCTAGGAATCACTAGCCTACAGTAACCTTGAGCTAACCATTCTCTGTGAGCCCTGAGCAACATTGAGAAAAACTAACAAAAAGAACAAATAGGCAAATGAAACATTAACCTAAACATGCCTGAAAAGGTCAGAGAAAATAATTAATGTTGGCTCTGTGTCTTACCTTGACCTGACTCTGTATCCTGAAGGAAAAGGTTTCATTCCATACGGGATTCTTACAGTCTTTAATACTCTTGGTCCGAACCCTTTCAAATGAAGCCGTTGGCAGAAACAAGCTGACATAGCAATCGGATTCACTAACTGATTTTTTTTAATGAAAAAAATGTGCATACATATTTTTAGGATATATGAAATAACCAAATATTACTCTTTTTCAAAAGAAATATGTAGAAAACAAGTTATTATCATTGTCTCCCATTGGTGGGCACATGCCAGGTTAAAGTCTAATTCAGGGATAAGAAAGGTGTATTGGAATGAAATTGTTATCATCATTCAGAACTGCTTTTGCTGGCTGGGAAGAATAAACATTGCAGCTCAGCAACATCTGGAGTCCTACACATTTCTCACTCTGAGGCCTTTTCTACACTGCTATATCATCCAAATTATCAAAGCAAATAATCCACATTATCTGCTTTGAACTGGATTATATGAGTGTACACTGCCTGATAATTCAATTCAAATCAGGCAATCTGGATTTTATATGGCAGTGTAGAAAGGGCCTGAATTAGTGCCTAATCACACTAGAGCATGAGTTTTTAGTGAAGTGGAGCAGTTTAAAGGCTCCTCCCTAAAGTTCAAACCCAAGAATTCTGCAGGAGGCAGAAACTGGATTTAAAGTGGATCCATGCTCTAGTGTGATGAGGTCCTTAGACTTGAAAAACATTACAAAAGCACAAAGGATGGTGGATTCAGACAAGCCTTCATCCCAGGAGAATCCGCATTTTAAAAAGGCAGATTTTCCTGGGGGCCTGAGCACTTTCTGCGGTGGGTGTCCAGACCTTCTCTCAGGACTAGCCTGGGACAACATCTGGAGGGCCTACCCCCCCTCCCTCGAAGCCCTCAGACCCCTTTGAAAAGTTAAAAATTTACCCGACCTCCAGTATACTCTTAGAGTAGCTCTCAGCGTGGACAAATGACACGACAGGAGGGGGGATGATTTTCTTCCTCCCGCCTTCCCCCGCTCTCCTGGCGCATCATTTCTACATGCAGGGAGAGGTGCTCTGAGAGTATACTGGAGGCCGGGTAAGGTTTTTTTAACTTTTCAAATGGGTTTGAGGGCTTTGGGGGAGGGGAGTGGTGTTTGTAATAAGGTATGTGAAATATACTATTATAAATCATAAATCACGCCACATGTCACCACTGTAATAATTCAGGAGCCCAGAAGGTGCAAGATGGGTGTTTGGACAGACCACAGGCAGGCCTGTAGCCAGGATTTTGATTCGGGGGGGGGGAGGATGAGTTTGTTTCGGGGGGGGCTGAGTCTGAGTGAAAGAGGGTCTACCCTAGCAAACCTTTTGTATCGTTACCCCAATACCCTCATGCATATGGGATATATTGAGCATGGTGATCAGATCATGATATGAATAAACATAACAGTTTAAATAATGCACCAGTAAGGCCTTTTCACGAACCACCATGAGAATTTCGAGGGGAGCTGAAGCCCCTCAAGCCCCCCCCCCCCCGGCTACATGCCTGACCACAGGGAAGTCCCAGGACTCCCTGTGAGGTGTGAGCCTGTCCTTTTATCTTTTACACTTTTAAATCCTCTTGCCTGTTTCTCCACTTGTTTTGTGCCCTCTTTCATGCCATGATAAACTTGAGAGGTGTTACTATAGCACTAATGTTATTCCATCCACCAGAACAACAAAAATAACAGATATCTGATAGTAGGGAGGACACCATCCCCCTGTTATGTTAGCTCCACTGGCTGCCAGTCCAGTTTCGAGCACAATTCAAAGTGCTGGTCTTGACCTACAAAACCCTATACAGTTCTGATCCAGTGTACCTGTCTGAACGTATCTCCTTCTATGTCCCACTTCGGAGTTTAAGATCTTCTGGGGAGGCTCTGCTCTCGGCCCCGCCTCTGTCGCAAACGCAATTAGCGGGGACGAGGGATAGGGCCGTCTCGGTGATAGCTCTCACTTGTGGAACTCACTTCCCTATGAATTAGATTATCGACGTACCTCCTTTCCTTTAGAAAAAGTTAAAAATGTGGATGTGGGACCAGGCCTTCGGGTAATCTTGCTGACAATGACAGTGACAATTATGACAATCACTATGGAAATGCACTATGGACATGCCTGATGGAGTCTCTAACTACAGAATTTAGTTCAGATAAGGCCACCAAGCTGTTATTGAAACAGAAAGAGATTTTAATTAATTAATGTGATTTAATGTTTTAAATGTATGTAATGATTGGATTTTATTATGTATTTTATTATGTGTACATTGAAGGCATCGAATTGTTGCCGGTTGGAAGCCGCCCTGAGCACCCCCCCCCCCCGGGTGGGGTTGAGAAGGATGAGGTACAAATATCTGAAATAAATAAATAAATTATTGAGTCCCTTTGTGGCTTCTCTTATTATTAACCCAAGACCTTTAAAGATCAGCACGGGTATATTTATATGTAGCAGTGGGATTCCAAAGTACGATCAAATCATCTGATGTAATGCTTATAACCCCCTGCACAAGGCATGTAGCCGGGGGGGGGGGGGTTGAGGGGCTTCAGCCCCCCCCCCCCGAAATTCTCATGGTGGTTCACGAAAAGGTCTTACTGGTGCATTATTTAAACTGTTATGTTTATTCATATCATGATCTGATCACCATACTCAATATATCCCATATGCATGGGGGTATTGGGGTAACGATACAAAAGGTTTGCTAGGGTAGACCCTCTTTCACTCCCCCCCCCCCCCCCCCCCCCGAATCGAAATCCTGGCTACAGACCTGCCCTGCACACAAACAAAGGCTTTTGTGGTATGGCCAGAAATATTTTGAAGCAATTATTGTTTTTTACAATCAGAGAGGCCATGATGGAACATAAAACAAATTAATCATGTTACAAATTGGGAGATTTGGAGATAATTGAGAGCCTTTCCAGAAAGGCCCTGTACCCCAGGATCTGATCCCAAGTTTTCTGTTTATCCCAGATTATCTGGCAGTATGGATTCATATCATCTAGTTTAAAGCAGAAAACCTGGGATCAGATCCTGGGATATAGGGCCTGTCTGGAAGGGCCCTGACTTGTTAACAGCCAAAATCCAAATCCCTTTGAACTTCAAATAGGCTAAGTCATAAATAACCTTGGACCTGTTAGAACGACCTGACATTTTTTAAAAGCAATGACATGGCAGGATTGCAAGAAGAAGGATTGCTCCTTCACACTTCATTAATCCCGAAAGCCAGAAGATAATGAATCACCTGTGGGAGGGAGGGGAAAAGGTGTTGGAAGTTACATTTTGTAAGACTCTGTGCTAGTGTGGGCATGTTTGTTCTTTCAGAATAAATTTGAAACAAGTCTTGCAACTTTACAAACATTTCTTTAAAACAACAAATTGAATTAACAAAACCAATGATATTCATAATAAGATTATTCTTAAATGGTTAGTCCAAGACTGAGAATCATGTTACCCAGGGTCATTTTGTGATTTTTTTAAAAAAGAAAATTAATTCAAATTTTAAGAAGGTATTGGTAATTTTTGAAAAATGATGCTCCCAAGATGCCTCCAAATAGTGTCTTTGTGCCAGGACAATCTTAGGTGTAGGAGAATCCTTTTATAAAACAAGAAATAAACAGTAACTTTTTTCTAAGTTACTTTCTGTAATAAAAAAATGAATTTTCTGGAACCAAATTTGAGGGCATCACAGATAGGTTGAAAGCTCCCTCATTACCTTCAGAAAGTATTGGGAGAGATCTGGAAGAAACATAGCATACAAATGCAAAATAAATATAATTATTTTGGAAAGATGTGACAAGAGTGCAAGAACTCCAAGGTCTCCTGGAGAGCTAATGCCTCCAACAGTCACCCATTGTTGGTTCATATATATCATGTTTTTAGTTTTTGCCTGCAAACATGATATATATGGAGGCAAACATGTATATCATGTATGTTCTGCTATCCTAATGTGAAAGCAGGGAGCCCAGGTGTCCCAGTTTACAAAAGAAAATCTCAGTTTGCATGAGCATCAAAGGTTAGTCCTCCACTTGAAAGTATCCTGTAATCTTTTTAATCCTAGGGCCCTTCCAGACAGGCAAAAGATCCAAGCGGGTTTAGGATTTTAACAGTTGGCCTAAACCTCGGAGTTTTGCAGGAGAGTGTCCAGATACTCAAACCTGCTGATCCAAGATCAGTAGGGTGGGCATTGGCGCTGCCCTTCCCTTCTCCCCATTTTCCCCTGCCCTTACCTGGGGAAGCCTTCGACAAGTCCTGAAAAGTTTTTCCCTCTCTCCCCACTCCCTTGGAAGAGCTGAAATAGGGCTTTGGGTAGGGGATGGGGGGTTTCTTCTCCAAGTTTCTCTGTTGGATCTTCCAGGGAGGAGGAAGAGAAGCAAAGGCTTCAGGCCTGCTTCTGATGAAGGCTCCAGTAAATTGAGAAGGAAATAGGAGCCAGGGAGGGAATCCAGACAAGGGGAAGGGAAGGAAAACACAGGCATGGAAAAATATGTGTTTCTCAGAAAGAACCAGGTTTAAAGAGCAACTTTTAAACACATATTTTGCAGCCTTTAACCCAATTCTTCCTGCATTTTAGCAAAACGTCATCTAGCCACCCTCCATTTTGAACCGGGAGCTCCTGGGATAAAGGTACTGTGTGGATGGGCCCTTAGTACATGCTTTAACTATTATATACTTTCCTATCAGTGACATCCTTCTGAATTTTATTAATATATTATGGTGCTTATATTTTTTAATTATTGTGAGAGTTTATTGTTTGATTTGGTTGCATGTTTATCACTATTTGTATTGTGGGTTTTTTTTCTGTTGTAACCTGCCCCAAGTCTTTTTGGGGAGAGGGGGTAGGATATAAATAAAGCTTTATTATTATTATTATTATTATTATTATTATTATTATTATTATTATCATCATCATCATCATCATCATCATTATTTAAGGAGTGTACAGGCCGACAGGGCGTTCTGGCGTGGGATGGTCCATGAGGTTGTGAAGAGTCAGAAGCGGCTGAAACAGCAGCACAGTCTATTTACAATTTAAAGGTAAAGAAACACAGAAAGTGACAGTAGGGACTGTGAAGATGACCATCAATCATTAAAAATATAGGCCAGAGCATGAGCAGGTCACCTAGGCACAGTGTTCTCCAACATAGCGATATGTTTGAATCAGTATAATTGTTTCAAAATGTCTATTTGTTCACATAGATTTGAAATATGAAAACGTATTAGCTTTTTTGACTATCTATAACCAGTAAATTTTTGCGTGAATTTGTGGAACTATCAGAAAACTCACATAAATCTGCCTTTCGTAGATTTTTTATCTGTATGGTTCTCACAGTTAGCAAATAGCAAGGAGAGTCATCCATCTACAAAGAAACAAACGCATTTAAAAAAAATGTATATCTGAATAAAATATACATATTTCAACAGACTCAGCATTATAATAATATAATAATAACAACAATTTATTTATAACCGTCCTTCTCTCCCCGAAGGGATTCAGGACTGTTTCCAAAAAAATAACAAAAATGTCAAACATTCAATGCCTAAAACAGAACAAACAACGATCAAGACATAAACATGAAATAAGATGAACTCAATATAGATTATAAATCTAACAGACAATTAACTGGGGACTAAACTAAATAAACATAATATAACACAAAGAGTCATACAAATTAAAACACATTAAAACATTCCAAACCACTAAATCTAATTACAGGTGGTGGGGGTTACATTTGCTCATTCTGTGCCTCCTTTAGGGCAGATTTGAATATCTGAAAGCACACATGCCTTTTGCTGAAAGCTTTTGAAGCAGGAATAGCAAGCAATATGATTGGATCATCCAATTGTTGCATCTGTGTATTAGTTAGGAGTTGGCATGATGCAGTGGTTTGAGAATTGGACTGCATAAGCAAATTACATAGCCATAGTTGGGACTACGACTCTGGAGACCTAGTCCCAACTATTCCTTACTCAACCATGGAAACCCACTCGGTGACTTTGGGTAAGTCACACACTATCAGCTCAGAAAACCCTATGATAGGTTTGCTTTTGGACTGACATAACTCAGATATGACGCGGAGGAACACTACCACAAATGTATCAGGAACAGTGCTCAGAAAACTCCCACTGCCAGGAACCCCCAGTGTGACCATCCTGGCAGTGGGATTCTGAAAGCTGCATCCCAAAAGTAACAAGTTATAGTTGGAAATAAAACACATAAAGTCAGAACTCTAACATGTACGCTTATTCGAATGTTTGAAATTTCTTGATCTTAAATTCACAGTCTAAAAAATAAAATTAATCTAGCTGAACAAAGAATCAATGAACTATGTGACAGAGCTTCTTAGTTGTTCAGAAAGGGTTATTAACACTCCAATTGAAGCAAATTATTGATAAATTAGAATGAATGGGAATTAGTATCAGAAAATATTTGTTATTGAGCCACAGTAACACCTCACCAGATATTTATAGTTCATCGATATATTGCTTTTTAAAAAAAGACCCTTTCCAGACTGTGAGACTCAAAGCATCAGAAGGTCAAGACCAAACCTGAAACAGCTGTCATATTTAACTTTTTAATAAATTGTATCTATTCATCATGACTTTCTATATAACTGTTTGTTGTTGTTCATTCATTCAGTCATCTCCTACTCTTCGTGACCTCATGGACCAGCCCACGCCAGAGCTCCCTGTCGGCCGTCACCACCCCCAGCTCCTTCAAGGTCAGTCCAGTCACTTCAAGGATGCTATCCATCCATCTTGCCCTTGGTCGGCCCCTCTTCCTTTTGCCTTCCACTTTCCCCAGCATAATTGTCTTCTCTAGGCTTTGCTGTCTCCTCATGATGTGGCCAAAGTACTTCAACTTTGTCTCCAGTATCTTTCCCTCCAGTGAGCAGTCGGGCTTTATTTCCTGGAGGATGGACTGGTTGGATCTTCTCGCAGTCCAAGGCACTCTCAGAACTTTCCTCCAACACCACAGCTCAAAAGCAGCTATCTTCCTTCGCTCAGCCTTCCCTAAGGTCCAGCTCTCACATCCGTAGGTGACTACAGGGAATACCATGGCTTTGACTAGGCGGATCTTTGTTGCTAGTCTGATGTCTCTACTCTTTACTGTTTTATCGAGACTGGACATTGCTCTCCTCCCAAGAAGTAAGCGTCTTCTGATTTCCTGGCCACAGTCTGCATCTGCAGTAATCTTTGCACCTAGAAATACAAAGTCTGTCACGGCTCCACATTTTCTCCCTCTATTTTCCAGTTGTCAATCATTCTTGTTGCCATAATCTTGGTTTTTTTGATGTTTAGCTGCAACCCAGCTTTTGCGCTTTCTTCTTTCACCTTGATTAGAAGGCTCCTCAGCTCCTCCTCGCTTTCGGCCATCAGAGTGGTGTCATCTGCATATCTGAGGTTGTTAATGTTTCTTCCAGCAATTTTCACCCCAGCTTTGCATTCTTCAAGCCCCACACATCGCATGATGTGTTCTGCATACAAGTTAAAAAGGTTGGGTGAGAGTATGCAGCCTTGCCGTACGCCTTTCCCAATCTTGAACCAGTCTGTTGTTCCGTGGTCAGTTCTGACTGTTGCTACTTGGTCCTTGTACAGATTCCTCAGGAGAGAGACAAGGTGGTTTGGTATGCCCATCCCACCAAGAACTTGCCACAATTTATTATGATCCACACAGTCAAAGGCTTTAGAATAGTCAATGAAGCAGAAATAGATGTTTTTCTGAAACTCCCTGCCTTTCTCCATTATCCAGCGGATATTGGCAATTTGGTCTCTGGTTCCTCTGCCTTTTCTAAACCCAGCTTGAACATCTGGCAACTCTCGCTCCATGTATTGCTGGAGTCTTCCTTGCAGGATCTTGAGCATTACCTTACTGGCATGAGAAATAAGGGCCACTGTACGGAAGTTTGAGCAGTCTTTCACATTTCCCTTTTTTGGTATGGGGATATAAGTTGTTTTTTTCCAGTCTGATGGCCATTCTTGTGTTTTCCATATTTGCTGGCATATGGCATGCATCACCTTGACAGCATCATCTTTTAAGATTTTAAACAGTTCAGCTGGGATCCCGTCGTCTCCTGCTGCCTTGTTGTTATCAATGCTTCTTAAGGCCCATTCAACCTCACTCCTCAGGATGTCTGGTTCTAATTCATTCACCACACCGTCAAAACTATCCTCAATATTATTATCCTTCCTATACAGATCTTCTGTATAGTCTCGCCACCTTCTCTTGATCTCTCAGCTTCTGTTAGGTCCCTGCCATCTTTGTTTCTTATCATACCAATTTTTGCCTGAAATTTACCTCCAATGTTTCTAATTTTCTGGAAGAGGTCTCTTGTCCTTCCTATTCTGTTGTCTTCTTTCACTTCCATGCATTGCTTATTTAAAAATAGTTCCTTATCTCTTCTGGCTAACCTCTGGAATTGCGCATTTAACTGGGCATATCTCCCCTTATCCCTGTTTCCTTTTGCTTTCCTCCTTTCTTGGGCTACTTCCAGTGTCTCAGCAGACAACCATTTTGCCTTCTTGGTTTTCTTTTTCTTTGGGATGTACTTTGTTGCCGCCTCCTGAACAATGTCGCGGACTTCTGTCCATAGTTCTTCTGGGACTCTGTTTACTAAATCTAGTCCTTCAAATCTGTTCTTCACTTCCACTGTATATTCGCTAGGAATGTTAGTGAGATCATATCTAACTGGTCTGTGTATTTCCCCTGATCTCTTTAGTTTTATTCTAAATTGAGCAATAAGAAGTTCGTGATCTGAGCTACAGTCAGCCCCAGGTCTTGTTTTCACCGACTGGATGGATGTCCGCCACCTTTGGCTGCAAAGGATGTAGTCAATCTGATTTCGGTGTTGACCATCTGGTGAAGTCCATGTATAGCCGTCTTTTAGGTTGTTGGAAGAGAGTATTCGTTATACACAGCGAGTTTTCCTGGCAAAATTCTATCAGCCTGCGTCCCGCTTCATTTTGTTCTCCCAGACCATGCTTGCCTGTGATCCCAGTTGTCATTTGACTTCCCACCTTGGCATTCCAGTCTCCTGTAATGAAAATAATGTCTCATTTTGGTGTATTATCCAGTAGGTCCTGCAGATCCTCATAGAACTGATCTACTTCTGCTTCTTCAGCAGCTGTGGTTGGGGCATATATTTGGATCACTGTGATGTTGAAAGGCTTTCCTTGCACTCGAATTGAGATCATTCTGTCATTTTTTGGGTTGTATCCAAGCACTGCTTTAGCGAATTTCTTATTAATTATGAAGGCTACTCCATTTCTTCGATGTTCCTCTTGTCCGCAGTAGTAGATCTGGTGGTCATCTGATGTGAAGTGGCCCATTCCAGTCCATTTCAGTTCGCTGACCCCCAGAATGTCTATCTTTAGTCTTGACATCTCACCAATAACAACATCCAGTTTGCCCTGGCTCATAGATCTTACATTCCAGGTTACATTCCATGGCATACCGACATATCTCTGGTTGTACTGGTCCATTTAGTTTTCTTGGCAAGGATACTGGGGTGGTTTGCCATTGCCTTCCCCAGGGATCACGCTTGGTCTGACCTCTCTGCCACGACCGTCCCGTCTTGGGTGGCCCTTCACGGTTTCGCTCATGACATCATTGAGGTGCTCAAGCTCCAGCGCCACAACAAGGCGGTGATCCTTTGCTGAAGATATAACTGTTATCTTTTTATATACTGTATCTAATTTATAAATCTGAAATGTTTAAACTATTTCATATAATGCATCAAAACAGACAACTCTACATGACCCTGCAAAATAATCCCCAGGGAACAGGAAGGCTAAACAAACCCCTCTGGGCTTCTTTCCAAGCCAAAACAATTAACCAACCCATTGTTCATGGATTTTGAACTGTGGTGCTGGAGGAAAGTTCTGAGAATGCCTTGGACCGCGAGAAGATCCAACCACTCCATACTTCAGGAAATAAAGCCCAACTGTGTCACAAGAAATTAAATGTGCAGATTTGACAAATATGAATTTAATATGACATGTGGGAATGAATGGAAGGATGTGTGGTTGGAGTTAATAATTTTGGAAACACCAATATAATATTAAGGCCTACAATGACTAACTACCTGCTTGCTGGAACTGTGATCAAAACCTGCTAATGAGAATTAATAAGAACTGTGACAATGGGTCTTTCAAGTTAAGGAAATGTTTGCAACATTCCTTATGTTAAGAAGGAAGTCAACATAAGATCAACACCAATCTGGCCAGGAAACTGAGATGGAGCCAGGATGGAAGTCATCTATTATTAATTTACAACTTTGGGACTACATCAACAGAATATTCATATAAAAGACTCAGTCTAATAATGCTCAGTCCTGAGGAGTCTGTCCACCCGCTATGC